GCTGACCGAACTCTCGGTCGAAATCTCGTTTCCCGGCGGGAAACGCGAGATCGGATCGCCCGTCGAAATCGCCGGACGGATTTTTTCCCGAGACGACGGAGATCGCGTCGAACCTCCGTAATCGGGGAGGGGAGGGCGTCAGAAATAATTTCTCGCTTCGGTACGCGCAACGTGAGAAACTGCCGTCCGTAATAGCTGCCGATTCTCACGGAAATGGGAACGTATTCAGCGTTGGAAATGCGCGTATATTCCGCGCGCGTAAGGAAATTTTCCCTCCCCCTCCTGCCGTGAGAGAGAGAGAGAGAGAGAGAGAGAAAACGTTTAACTTCGCCGTTTCGCTTCATGTCGCGCAAAAAGTGCACGACAGCGGCGGGCGAATCGCGGGATTGCGTTCTCTTCATTTTGACGCTTACTTTCCAACCGTTGGATTCGCGGGGCGGAACTTTCGCGTAACGTTCGTATAATAACACCTCCGACCGTCGAAAGTGGGTCGGAGGCCGCCGCGGCGAGCTCGCGAATAATGCAGTTTCGTGACATGAACTCGGCCGTGCGCGAACTCGCGGCGACGCTACCCGACAAAGCTCTACGATTACGAGTCGCGCAGTGTTCGGTCCAACGCATATGTACGTCATACGAGCGTAAATGTATAATCCGGGAGTATCGGTAATGTGATTCCACTGTGTCGGAGTCGACGGACCGCGAGACACACGACCATGTCAGCGTGATCAACAACAATGTTACATCGAGACTATGAAAACAACAAACAGCTGGTCGCGATTAAAAATATCTCTCACCGAAAATATTGTGACACCTGAGACAATTGGACAGATTGGAAATTTTTGCTTTATTTACATCTATTATACACAAATGAGCGTGCTGACATGGTTATCTAAATATTGTTCGTCATGGCAATGTACACGAGATGAAAGAGATATCAGCGGTCCAAATCCGGTAACTGTTGCGTTGGTGAATATCAGTAATGCGACGAATCATTCACCCCCGACTTGACCGGCTGACACTCGATTCATGCTATTACGGTCAGGTCATGATTCAGATCATGACTCGGCCAAAATTTATTTATAGTAAAGTCAATGCTCCATCGAGTTCGCATTCACATTGTCGTTCACGTCACACTGGGAAAAATTATAGTGATTTCCTCGACTGTATTATTTTTATGAATATAAAAATGGCGCAGAAAAATTTGTCAGATGCTATGTGAACAGCGAAACGATTTGTTAAAAATATTAATTGCCATTCGTTAGGTATATTTTGCTGAGATTATTTTGCTGTAAGAACAAATATAGAGAAGTATTATTTTAATCTGAAAGTAAACTGGCGTGTGTTAAGGACAAATTTATTCAGCAACATTTTTTCTATCCCGGCGACAAAATTACTTCTGCTCTAATTATGAATAATTCGCTGATTTGGTTATGTCAACTTTTAATTTAAATTTTATCGCTGTCGTAATGAATATGCAGTGGCAACGATGATTTCGCTACAATAGCAAAATTATTTTTCTCTGTGTACTTACTGGAAAAATAAATTCCTCTAACTATAATTATTTCACTATGACGATTATAGTTACGAATATAAAATATTTTTCTCTCAGTGCAAGTCAAGCAACGTGGGTCACAGAACGACCGTTTTTTGGAAGAGATATAGAACGTAAGCTGACCACGGCGTGATCGTGTCATGGTTGTCAAGTAAGAATGTGAAATGATTAAAAGACAATCAGCAGATGGTCATTAGAAGCCATAAAAAGAAACTCTTCTTTTTCGTCTGAGATAGACAAGAACTTATTGAGTATGTTTGCGCAAATGAAGAATTGTACAATTTCTCTCACTGAAAATACTGTGATGCTTCATACAAATTAATGATATAGAATGAAGTGTTAGAAAAACTGCAACAGGTTATGCATTAGATGTGCAAATTAGCTGAATATTTTATGGGAAATATTTTTTCCGCTCAATATTGTGGTTTTAAAGAACTGCCATTTATGTTTATATCACAAAACACTATGTAATACCGCAGAATGGCGTAATCTCAGAAAATAGTAGTAAACAGTATTCCTATCAATAAAGCGCATATTTGGCATCGCATTCTTTTTGCAATTCAACTGCAAAGGAATGCTGCTGAAGTTACAAAAATAATTTGTTCGATTCTTAGCAAAGGCACGATGAGTTATACCACTTATAAAAAATAGTATCAGAGGTCTCGAGAATATTTCGAGAAGATTTGTGCTCCACGGCAACGCTCGATTTCATGTGGAAAAGTGACAAAAAATGCTATCTCTAATATGGGCTAAGAAGTTATATTGCATCTAACTTATTCTCCAGATTTTACTCTTTTAGATTTTCATCCAAGAGTTTTGGTCGTTGCAACCATTTAACTGATACACATTTTAAAGCAATAGAAGTTGTCCGAAAATTTATCGATGACCTTATTGTTTCAAAACAGTCGAGTTTTCGTAACGATGGAATTCGATAGCCGTCTGATAGATAGTAGAAGGTAATAACAGAGATTATTTCGATAATTAAAATTACACACTTTCCATTGATAAATAAATGTTGACTTTTGGTGACGAAAGCGCCGAATAAATCTACACACCTAATAAAATAATTTTATTTTTGTATTATAAATATTATAATACACATATTTCATAATATTATTTATTTAATAAAATATAAGAACTTGGAAAGCATTTTAAAATAAAATCTCGAAATGATTGGTACCGGAGGATTGAATAACGGAAGACCACCAGAAGATCGAAAAGTGGAAATCAGATGAAAAATCCGCGATTTGACCGTGATCTGACTGTGACTATGAGAATCGGCCTCAAGTTGTGCGATCTTCGTATAATTGAACATTCCGAGTAGGCGCGTCATAAGCAAATCGAGGCGATCTCGATGGATCACGGTTAGATCGCAAGAAAATGTCATTGATATTCTTATAATGTTCTTTCTGGTTGTTTTTTCCGTTTTCCTTCGCTCCGCATGTGATGAGAAACGTGTAATCACGCAGCCAGATAATGAGATGAAAAAAACGAGGCTAAAACGTGATGTTATAACGTAATTTCTTCATGAATTCCGCGATGCATCTCATATCAATAGGAAATCTCGACAAATATTCTCTGATAGCGAATCATTCTTAATTCTCATCGAGAAGTGTGGCAACATTTGATCGTTGGACTGTAACCTTTAATTCGCATTTTGGTCCTGTCAAATTCTTTCAAACAACATGTAAGTAGATTTGAAACGAGAGCTCAGAATTTCACATTCGTGTTAGGATTCTGAAAATTCTTTTTCTACAATCTGGAAGAGAATTCTGGAGAAATTTTGGAGAAACTCGACAATCTTTATGATATTCTTTTCTGCCTTCCTTCCTTTTTTTATCGAACTACATTCCCCCTTTGCTTTCCTTGCACACTTTATTTTCTTTCTGTGTTGCTTTCTTACTTTTTTTTTACCGCTGCGCTCATTGCTGCGCTGGTTGGATCAAACTTTCGGTCGAAATCTTGTTTCCCAGCAGTAGGCCTATTCCGTAACTTTTAACGACAGTGTTGTTATCGTTACGTTGCTGCCGCGCAGTTCTCTACTATGTGTTTTATCTGAAGGGCACATTTTTTCAAACTAATAAGATTCATGCGCGCAGAATAATGGTTGCGAATAATTATTTTACGGGAGGATAATAATGTCGAAGTATCGCACAAGCTGAAAAATTTTCGGTCCTTAACGTACATTAAACTGAAGCTACTTTTCACAATAGCAAATCGACCTTATATCCTAATAATATATAAAATTCACTAAAATAATTCATTCACAGCAGTGTTTTAAATGAAATTATGCATGTAAATGAACAAAATAGGACATTCGTGTGAATCCTAACAAAATTGATCCTATTATTAAATTGTCCGTTATTTCGAACGATATAATCGACAGCAGATTTGGTTCGACAGCATTTATTCAATTATGTACTAGAAAATTATGAACTGCATATATAATCAAAGTAACTATTTGATTGAAAAAAAAAGTAAATGTACAATTGACTAACCCTTTAAATGGTGTCTTTCTAAAACGACTGCGGCATTTTGAGGCAAATACACGAATTATTATAACAATAGTATGGCGTATTTTTTGTGCTATTGCATTTTTCCGTGTACGATGTGGTAACACTTTGGGCCTCGCAATATAAATAGCTGCTATTTATTTCCTTTTCTGCAGCGCAGTATTTAATAAATGCTTCTTCTGCATATTGTGTTATATTATTTATAAGTTTAGTTAAAACTAATTATTTTTAATTGCATTATATATGCAATGTATTGTATAAAATAATATGATAGGCGAAAGATTGTATATAATAAATGATAACATATCAGGCGTCTATTCAAAACTTACCGATGTATATATTGGGAGTACAAATTAATTCGGTTCGTTTTCAAAAAATGGCTCTGGCTGTTATGTATGTTTCAAAGTGACAGCTGATTTCGGTGGTTTCAGAGAGATTAGACATCTGTCAATAATATTCAGTTTATATCGCTTTGAGTTTCATACAAAATTCCTGCTTTTTACTGTGTTGAATATGTCAAATTTTGTGTTAACTAAGCAGCATTTGCGGGAGGTTTTAATTTTCTGCTTTAATTGGAAGAAAAGTGCAGCTGAAGCGCGTCGAATGCTTGTAGAAGTTTATAGTGACAATGCTCCAACTGATAAATCATGTAGGGAATGGTTTCGACGTTTCAAGAATGGTAATTTTAGCGTTGAAGACAAGCCTCGCTATGAACTGCTACAACCTGGCGATTCCATCTCGGGCCATCGGTATAGGCTGCAATTGATTCGTTTGAGCCGTGCATTACGAGAAAAACGGTCGGAATACGAGCAAAGACATGACAAAGTTATTCTTCTGCATGATAACACTCGGCCTCATGTCGCAAAAGTCGTAAAAAATTATTTGGAAACGCTCAAGTGGGATATTTTATTGCATCAGTAAGTGCATCAATCGAACTTCAACGGATTTCTTCAGCTATTTCGCATTACTTATTTTCTCAACAATAATTTCTGCGATATACAGTCGTATAATAGACTCAAAAATTAATAATATGATGTGTAGTCGCATTTCCTCTCTATCGGGGTTTTGACTTTCACGAAGTGTTACAATTAAGCGCAATTGCACGAATTAATCATGAAGTGCGTCACTCATATCAATTTTAAGTGCATAAGAGAGAGACGTTATCTCGCGAAACGAAGAAACATTACCCCCACAAAGACGTCGCAAATTTGCATACTTGTACGATTTATAGATTTTTTACAGGATAAAGAAGAGGATATAAAGACAGCGCGTTACTGTAAGCATTTAGAGACGAGGATAAGATTTTAGAGACGAGGCGAACCGTCGATAGCCGATCGTCAACACCTCATTGCCGCTAACCAACTATAACCCGAGGCTCTTTTCGTGGTCGCGAGAGCTCGCTATTGACACGAACTTTATTCCGTGACTTCGTTGTTTGACTTGGCCTGAAACGAAGGGCTCGATCGGACAGAATCTCGATCAAACGTACGCCATGGACCCCTGGACGATAGTCTTGTCGATATTGGTGTTCCTGCTGGTCATATACTATTTCTCGTCGCCGGAAAGCACACAGAACGTGTTTCGGCAACACGGGATTCCGCACGGCAGACGAGTCTCCGTCCTGCAAGAACTCCTGGAGCTGTTTGTGTTCCCGAAGACTTACACCGAGATGATCCAAGCGGCGTACAACATCCACCCGGACTCCAAGTACATCGGGATCTTTCATCTCAGGCAGCGAAAATATACTCTCGCAAGAGTATATCTACGAGCATTCTCGTGCTAGTACGCGACCTTTTTCTTGTTTTGCCTTGCGTTTCATTGGTCATTTCCTGTGGTTCACAGCGTACCTTTGGTCTTCTCGGTCGCGGCATACGTTAGCCGTATTTTTGGACTTCTCCTTTTACGGTGTCCTGTAGTCTTTGGTTCGCGACTCCCCCCTTATTCCTTGGTATCTTCGGTGTAGCGATAGTGTCGGTCTCTCCAATAAGATATTCTAGTGGTTGAGAGGAGAGAGGCAACGGGTGCGCATCGCTGCCGATGCTCGGTGGAAGTCCGCCAAGGACACACACCCTTCTTAGTACTTTCCTCCGAAAACACAGCTTCTCGCAGTAGACGAGACAGACCAAAGAAGAGCCCCCCTCGGTCTACCGTCTGCGAGGGAAATACACACAGCAGCGCAAGGCGCGCAGACGCTTTCTTCCACCGCCGATTTCGGCACAAGGGAACGACTGTCAACGTCCATTTTCCTCATAATTGAGGAAATTATATAATATATTGAATAAGGCTGGACTTGAATACCAGTTATCTACAGAAAGGCCTTTTCCTAGGTAGGGCTTCATAAGTGATTCTACTATTGCTCCCGATTTTCCAATTACCTTATTTTCAACTTCAATTACTTACAACAATTCAAAAGAGATTTTGTACTCTAATCTTTGTTTTATATTAGAGTACCGTTCTGTACCGTAAAAATACTCCGACAAGAGTCGTTGTAGGTGGTTGCATACATGCCGACTATATTTAGCACCCGATACACAGGTCGCACGGACACTGATTATGTAGTCAGCACCCGTACACACAAGTCATCGCGCGGATACCGACTGTAGTCTGCATCCGTAACGAAAGAGTTAAAAACAGCACAAAAGTTCTAAATTTTTAAATCTCCCAAATGTTCCCTAAAATTTGTAGACCCCAAAATTTTTAGAATTTCTGTTTATGGGAGATAAATTTTCTGGCGGCGCACTTCAATTTAAGAGATGCATATTCAGTTCAAAAACAGCTGAAAAGAGATACAAACACCTCAAAAATAAGCAAAGAAAACTGAATTACACACTGCTTCACTGCTTGATACTATGCTGATATTTCTGGGCCATTCCTTTGTGTGACATAACTTTTCAACTAAAAAACACTCTAACTTCCTTATAAAAATAGCAAAGGAAAAACTTAATTGCTTGTCATAGGTCAGGCACACATCAATTGAGACGAATACTTTAATAAAATGCATCACTTTCAAGCAAAATATTTTTTAAAATTACGCTCTGCAAATGTGAATATGTCTCATATCGTGTGTCATTTTGTTTATAATTCAAAAGAGAGATAACTTCAATAACCTCCTCCTTGATTAAAGATTGTGCTCGAATATTGCAATTACCAAATATTATAAAGCAAATGACATCATGATAACGTAAATACTATAATACAAACGAATATAATTGTTTCGTTAGTATTGGCAACTAACTTTTGCAGAAGACTTTTGGTATCAGATAAACTTTTGGTATCAGAAGAACGTTGGTTATTCTCCATTGCACAAAATGCATATTGGCAAATGTTACATAAGCGATCATTTCACGAGTATTTATACGTACAAGATCGCGCAGTGCAGCAGTAGTCGGCTGTTGAATGTCAACGGCGCATAGTCAAATCTTACTACGATCTTACTTTTGATTATTTTGTAACATATAGTCAATAGGCGAAGCAAGTAAATTATAATTAAATTCCGTAAGTTCACCGCATAAATATCGGGCAGATACCGATTCCGTCAGAATCGTGGAATTTATAAGTGAATATAATTCGACATAACGTCATACAGCGCATCAGTCAGTTTAGTGCGAAAAAATTCATTAAACATGATGTATGCGATTGCCTTCTCGGTGATAGCCGGCGCCTTGGGTCTTTATTATCTCCTCTTCAAGAATCTGAACGTGTTCAAAAAGCATAATATACCGTACATGCAGCCACTCCCAATCGTAGGCAACATGGGGTCGATGATTCTGCGTAAGCAGTGCTTTGCCGATATCTTGAAGAATATATACGACCTACATCACGAGGCTAAGTACACCGGTATATTTGAGTATTCATTGCCGACAATATTGCTACGTGACCCTGAGCTCATCAAGTCCATCACGCTCCAACAATTCAACATATTCCCGAATCATCACAACTTCATCAGCAAGGATCAAGATCCATTGATCGGAAAAAATCTCTTCGGCCTAAACGACAAGAGATGGCGGGCAGTGCGAGGCATACTAAGCCCTGCCTTCACTTCCAGCAAAGTAAAGAGCATGTTCAAGCTGATGTCGGACTACGCTGCTGAGTTCGCTAATTTCATAGCGCAACTACCGCCGGACCAGAGCGTGATAGAAGCTAAGGATACCTTCACACGATATACCAACGATGTGATCACAGCCTGCGCTTTCGGCATCAACGTTGATTCTATGCGAGACCCGAAGAACCTCTTCTATGTGTACGGCAATGAAGCGGCTAATTTCAACACCGTCTTCTTCTTGAAAATGCAAGTAATCAGAATGCTGCCATGGCTGGCAGCTCTGCTCAGACTGAAGTTATTTCCCAAAGAAGTCGAGAAATTCTTCTGCGACTTTGTGGAGACTATCATTAAGATCAGAAACGAGAAAGGTATCTTCCGACGTGACATGTTGCAGCTGATGATGGAAAATAGGAGAAAGAAAGAAGGTTGGAAGGAATTGACGATCGAGGACATAACCAGCCAGGCTTTTCTTTTCTTTCTTGGTGGCTTTGACCCTACGTCGAGGTTGATGTGTTTCGCTATGTACGAGATTGCCGTGAATGAGGACGTGCGGAAAAGACTGCAGAACGAGATAGATCAGGTACTGGAAGACACAAATGGCGAAGCAGCGTATGAAGCGATCAACAGCATGGAATACCTAGGCGCTGTGATAAACGAGGCTCTCAGGATGTATCCGATTTCCGTACGAACGGACAGAGTATGCATAAAGGATTTCGTATTGCCGCCGACGTTACCGGGTGCGAAACCTTTTATCGTAAAGAAAGGGGGTGTCGTGATGATTCCAATTTTTGGGCTTCATCATGACCCTAAATATTTCAAGAAGCCGGAGAAGTTTGATCCTGAACGGTTTCTCGGCGAACAAAAGAAGGCCATCCTGAACACTAGAGCATATCTCCCGTTTGGTTTGGGTCCCAGGATGTGCATAGCTAGTCGATTTGTCTTGTTGGAGACGAAAGTATTACTCTTCCACATGTTGGCACGTTGCGACCTGCTACCTTGCGAGAAGACTCCGATGCCGCTCAAATTAGCCAAAAAGGGTTTGATCATGGAGCCTGAAGGTGGATTCTGGTTGAAAACAGTACCGAGAAAGAAGATACATCGCTCTGTAACAGTTAAAACTGCGAACGGCACACGCGAACTGTAGGTATTTTTGTTGTTTTCTCAAATCTTGAGATATAAATGTTACAAATACAGAAAACTTTTGTGTTTATTATGATACATAATCCATGCTATTGAGATAATACGATGTATGATAATAAATACGAAATGAAAAATGTTTATTCACATATCTTGTGATTTAGTGATATCAGGAAGATAGTACAACATTCAGATAACTAAAGTGATATCAGGAAGATAGTACAACATTCAGATAACTAAACCGTTTTATACAGATTGATGAGTAATGTTAAATGTAATTTGGTAATTTAATAAATAGTAAATTAGTAAATATTTAGTTGAACATAGCAATTTTTTTCAATGCAGCTCCCTGATGTTTCTAATTCGCAAGGTTTGTCAATAAATAAAATCTTCTCCTTCCAATTTATTTATTTATGTTTATATATGTGTAGAGGAGATCGCAGTTAGTTAATTGTAGAAAGAAGATGACATATCGCTTATACCTCGGCTATTTTCCATTAATTTATAGAATCAAACAAGTGGGAAATGCAAAATCTTCTTTCATACGTATGACATAACTTACATTTCATTATATGCAACGATTATAAAGTTATGGTTTTGAACTATATTTTTAGCAGTGGAAATAAAATTGCACAATCTTGTAAATTTATTTATATTATAGTGAGACCATAAGCAAGATGAGAATCGAAAATAATAGAAGACAGTCACTAGCAAGGAAATCGCAGCACGCAGCGGCTTGACGGTAGCGTGCGAATCTCAGCCAATGGGAACACAGTATCCGGGAGCCACAGGACGAATGTCAGTTAATTGCCTGCGAGCGTCTGTTCGTATATAGAAGCGCATAAGAAACATATTTCTATCCTAGCATCCGTTAATTCTTTGTATGCTTGTCAGTCGTAGGTTTCAATATTAAACATTTATAGTGTTTTCGGTGATTCTCTTCTCTGTATCCCATATTATTTATAAATGTAGAATTTTATGTTAGTTCTTGTTATAGTTAAAAAAATATATTTAGTTGATTATATTTTAACAAGCAAATAGTTAAAAAAATATATTTAGTTGATTATATTTTAACAGACAAAAATTTCAACAAAATATATTTATATCTTTATATATATAACTGGAAAGAACTTAACTGACAGTAAAATAAGCTGGCTTGAAAAGAATATTTAATTTTTTTATAAAGATATTAGTATCAAGAATATTTGATATACTTTTTTCCATTTATTTAATATATATGGAAAATGTAATGTATCAATAGTATAAATAAACATATAAATGAAAAAGAAAACTGTAGTAATCATAATAAACAAAATCACGCAGCAAATCTTCGCAAAATTCGAACGATATGAGTCAGTGTCGTCATAAAAATCACTTTCCTCTTTTTCTCTTTCTATCCTCTCTCGTTCCAATATATCTTATCTGAATTGTTGGTAATGAGCGAGACGGCAGTTTGTCGCCAAGTAAATGTTATGATCTCATACCTGTGGTCATTTTTATAAACTTTAATACATTAATTGGAAATTTCCTCTTACATGATAAAATAATAATCATAAAAAATGTATATTGATTTAGACGTACGAAGCAGTAATTGAACTGATTTCCTTCTTCGAAGACAATATCCATTGGGTTAAATTAATAATGTTATCTCGAGATGTAACACAAAGACCATTTCGCTTTACAAGTGGCAACACGGCGCGCGATATAATAGTATTGCATCAAATAGGGTATAGATTGTCACAAAGTATAAATAATTTTGCTTAAGAGATAAAGATGTGATATACGCACAAAGTCACTAAATGTCACTGAAATTGCGTTAGAAATAAAATAAAAATTTGAATCAATGTAAGAGCCCAAAATTATATATAAAATATACGAAACCCGATTCCTATAAAAGTAAAAGACAAATACTGTAATCAAAGTCTAATATGAACAGATTTTATCTCATGCGTCCACCTTGCTTTTCTTGACGATTACCTCCTCGATTGTTACAGTTCGATTATTACAGTTATTTCTGAACATCGATCATTTTATGCAGAACTTGCAAGGACGAATATAGCTGTTTCATCAATATGTGCAATAATCCGTTGCATCAATAATACAATGCATGAATAGTGAAAAAGGCTGCTTACTTTCGATCACAGAGTAATCTCATGTTGGTAAGTGTTACATAAGCGATAATTCCACAAGGTGTATATACGTGCAAGATCTCACAGCGCGGCAGCAGTCGGCCGTTGAACGTCAGCGGCGCACAGTTACACTTATTCTGCGCTTCATTCTCCTCTGGTCGCATATAATCAAGCATCGGAACGTACACATTCAATTAAGTCAGTTCGTTGCGTAAACATCAGTGAGATCCCGGATTTCGTTCGTGAGTTTTACTCGCAAATATAAATAGTTCGACAGATCGTCGCACGGTGCTTCATTGAGTTTAGTGAGAAAAAATTCTCTCGATATGATGTACGTGATCGTTTTGTCGGGGATAGTCGGCGCCTTGGGTCTCTATTACTTCCTCTTCAAAAACATAAATGTATTCAAGAAGCATGGCATACCGTATATTCAGCCGCTTCCCTACGTAGGCAACATGGGATTGACGATTCTGCGTAAGCAGTCCTTAGCCGACGTCATGAAGAATATATATAACGTGCATCGCGAGGCCAAGTACAACGGTATGTTTGACTTCACATCTCCAATAATATTGCTACGCGACCCTGAACTCATCAAGTCTATAGCGCTCAAACACTTCGACTCGTTCCCGAATCATCGCTCCTTCGTCACAGAAGATCAAGATCCGTTGTTCGCAAAAAACCTCTTCGCCCTAAAAGACAACAGGTGGCGGGAGGTGCGAACCATGCTGAGCCCGGCTTTCACTTCCAGCAAGATGAAGAGCATGTTCAAGCTGATGTCGGACTACGCTGCTGACTTCGCTAATTTCGTAGCGCAACTACCGCCGGACCAAAAGGTGATACAGACGAAAGACATCTTTACGCGGTACACCAACGACGTAATCGCCACCTGTGCCTTTGGTGTCAGCGTCGATTCCATGCGAAACCCGAAGAACCTCTTCTATGTATATGGCAAAGAAGCGACTACTTTTAACATTGTCTCTTTCTTTAAAATGTATATATTTAGAATGTTGCCGTCGGTGGCAGCTCTGCTTAGACTAAAGTTCGTTCGCAATGTGATCGCGAAATTCTTTTACGACCTTGTGGACACCACCATCAAGACCAGGGACGAGAAAGGTATCGTCCGACCTGACATGTTGCAGCTGATGATGGAAAGTAGGGGAAAGAAAGAAGGTAGGAACGAATTGACGATCGAGGACATGACCAGCCAGGCCTTCGTTTTCTTTTTTGGCGGCTTCGACAGCACGTCGACGTTAATGTCTTTCGCTGCACACGAGATTGCTGTGAATGAGGACGTGCGGAAGAGACTGCAGAACGAGATAGATCAAATACTGGAAGACACGAATGGCGAAGCACCGTATGAAGCGGTCAACAGCATGGAATACTTGGACGCTGTGATAAACGAGGCTCTCAGGATGTATCCGGTTGCCGTAGGAACGGACAGAGTATGCATAAAGGATTTCGTATTGCCGCCGACGTTACCGGGTGCGAAACCTTTTACCGTGAAGAAAGGGGAAGCCCTAATGATTCCAGTTTTTGGGCTTCATTATGACCCTAAATATTTCAAGGAGCCGGAGAAATTTGATCCTGAACGGTTTCTCGGCGAACAGAAAAAGGTCATCCATAACAGCGGAGCGTATCTCCCGTTTGGCTTGGGCCCCAGGATGTGCATAGGTAATCGATTTGCCCTGATGGAGACGAAAGTGTTACTCTTCCACATGTTGGCACGTTGCGACCTGCTACCTTGCGAGAAGACATCAATGCCGCTCAAATTAGCCAAGGATGGTTTCACCATGAAGCCCGAAGGTGGTTTCTGGTTGAAAGCAGTGCCGAGAAAGGAGCTACATCGCTCCGTAGCAATTAAACCTGCGAACGGCACACGCGAACTGTAGATATTTTTGTTGTTTTCTCAAATCTTGAGATATAAATGTTATAAATACAGGAAACTTTTGTGTTTATTATAATACATAATCCATGCTATTGAGATAATACGATATATAATAATAAATACGAAACGAAAAATTTATTCACGTATCTTGCGATTTAGTGATAGCAGGAAGATAGTACAACATTCAGATAACTAAACCGTTTTATACAGATTGGCGAGTAATGTTAAATGTAATTTGATAATTTAATGAACAGTAAGTTGGTAAATATTTACTTGAACATAGCAATTTTTTTCAGTGCAGCTCCCTGATATTTCTAATTCGCAAGGTTTGTCATTAAATAAAATCTTTTCCTTCCAATTTATTTATTTATGTTTATATATGTGTAGTAGAGATCGCAGTTAGTTAATCATAGAAAGAAGATGACATATCGCTTATACCTCTGTTATTTTCCATCAATTTGTAGAATCAAACAAGTGGGAAATGCAAAATCTTCTTTCACACGTATGACATAATTTACATTTCATTATATGCAACGATTATAAAGTTATGGTTTTGAACTATATTTTTAGCAGTAAAAATAAAATTGCATAACCTTGTAAATTTATTTATATTATTGTGAGATCATAAGCAAGATGAGAATCGAAAATAATAGAAGTCAGTCACTAGCACGGAAATCGCAGCACGCAACGGCTTGACGGTAGCGTGCGAATCTCAGCCAATGGGAACACAGTATCCGGGAGCCACAGGACGAATGTCAGTTAATTGCCTGCGAGCGTCTGTTCGTATAAAGAAGCGCATAAGAAACATATTTCTATCCTAGCATCCGTTAATGTTTTGTATGCTTGTGAGTCGTAGGTTTCAATATTAAACATTTATAGTGTTTTCGGTGATTCCCTTCTCTGTATCCCATATTATTTATAAATGTAGAATTTTATGTTAGTTCTTGTTATAGTTAAAAAAATATATTTAGTTGATTATATTTCAACAAAAATTTCAACAAAATGTATTTATATCTTTATATATATAACTCGGAAGAACTTAACTGACAGTGAAATAAGCTGGCTTGAAAAGAATATTTAATATTTTTTATAAAGATATTAGTATCAAGAATATTTGATATACTTTTTTCCATTTATTTAATATATATGGAAAATGTAATGTATCAATAGTATAAATAAACATATAAATGAAAAAAAAAACTGTAATAATCATAATAAACGAAATCACGCAGCAAATCTTCGCAAAATTCGAACGACATGAGTCAGTGTCGTCATAAAAGTCACTTTTCTCTTTTTTTCTTTCTATCCCCTCTCGTTCCAATATATCTTATCTGAATTGTCGGCAATGAGCAAGGCGGCGGTTTGTCGCCAAGTAAATGTTATGATCTCGTACGTCTGGTGGGTTTTATTATAAACTTTAATACATTAATTGGAAATTTCCTTTTACATGATAAATAATAATCATAAAAAATGTATATCGATTTAGACGTACGAAGCAGTAATTGAACTGAAGTAATTGAACTTTCCTTCTTCGAAAACAATATCCTTTTGGTTAAATTAATAACGTAATCGCGAGATGTAACACAAGGAACATTTCGCTTTACAAGTGGCAACACGGCGCGCGATATAAACGTATTGCATCAAGTAGGGTATAGATTGTCACAAAGTATAAATAATATTGCTTAAGAGATAAAGATGTGATATACGCACAAAGTCACTAAATGTCATTGAAATTGAGTTAGAAGCAAAATAAAAATTTAAATCAATATAAGAGCCCAAAATTATATATAAAATATATGAAACCCGATTCCTATAAAAGTGTTCCGTCCTGGAAGAGGACGAACGCAACAAAATTGTTTACTCGCGCACTGGCGAGTCCTAAACGTACTGGTAGGTCTGCAGATCAGGTCAAGTTCCGGTGCAGCCCATTTACTCCGATCACATTACGTACGTTAGGTGTTCCTTTATTTAGGTCAAAGAACTTAATCTCTTTACCCCGGGATAGGACCATATGAGTGTGTTGAGAGGGGAATTTATATTTAGGTAATTGAAAGGAGATGAATAAATAGTTTTAATGACTTGATTAAATTTAGGGCATTTTGAATAAAACAGTTTATTAATAATATAATTTGCTCCTCGGATGGATTAATGATAGTGGTAAATTGATAAGAACAGTCATTGTAAAAGATGCAACATTTAAAAGATGAAAGGGTTTGCTAAAGTTAAACAATGAAATATGTGGGCTAACATTAAACAAATTTGTATAAATCAGTATTACTGGAANTTTACCTGGGATAGGACCATATGAGTGTGTTGAGAGGGGAATTTATATTTAGGTAATTGAAAGGAGATGAATAAATAGTTTTAATGACTTGATTAAATTTAGGGCATTTTGAATAAAACAGTTTATTAATAATATAATTTGCTCCTCGGATGGATTAATGATAGTGGTAAATTGATAAGAACAGTCATTGTAAAAGATGCAACATTTAAAAGATGAAAGGGTTTGCTAAAGTTAAACAATGAAATATGTGGGCTAACATTAAACAAATTTGTATAAATCAGTATTACTGGAATAACGCAAATACAAGATGAAGATTAAAGTGAGATTAAGCAAAAGGTAATTCGTGTAACTTAATTTAATACAATCGGATATAACGCAACAAGAATGTTTAACATATCGGTATAGCGAGGAAAACATCGTTATATAATACAAAGAAAACAATAATCACGCAGTGCAGGTATATGTTTTGAGGGATGAAGTGGGATTGGAAATTGGATTGAAATGATTAAAAGTCATGTTTAAATATGAAATGGAGACTCACGATTTAGATTAATCAATAGACTGACGAGGACGAATGAAGACAAAGACGAAGGCTGGATTAGACTATGGTTGTGGACTGCTGAAGACTATGGTTGTGGACTGCTGAAANGATCAGACACTAAGAACAGCAACTGTGACTGCGACTGTAACTCTAATTGTAACTATAACTTGAACTGGACTCGACTGTACTGTACTGAACTTGAACTGGTCTGGACTGTAATTGTAATTGTGACTGTCACTGACTGACTGATTGACTGACTACAAGAAAAACTACTATTGTAACTGCGCTCGCGGCAAAAAAGGTAAGGCTTATATAGGAAGGATTTCAGGGGGTGGTGGATGACGTCCACCAATGAGAGGAGGTTGCGTGGAAGACGGTTACTTTGGAAAATTCCTAGTATTAATATAAACAATTCTAAGAACCTAATCGCGTAGGAGGGCCCTTGTTAAGGGTAAGGCTTAACAGGAAGGATTTCAGGGGGTGGTGGATGACGTCCACCAATGAGAGGTGGTTACGTGGAAGACGATTGCTCTGGAAAATTTCTAGTATTAATATAAACAATTCTAAGAACCTAATCGCATAGGAGGGCCCTTGTTCTACCGACTGTACGAGGGTGGTCCCAGAAGTATCCGACCCAACAAAGAAAACACAAAAATTTTGGAAAAAAATGTATTTATTTTTCAACATAATCTCCTTTCAGCTCTATACACTTTTCCCAGCGATGTTCAATAAGTTCGATACCCTTTTTATAATAAGAACTGTCTTGCTCCTCAAAATAGCCATTAACGGCCGACATTTTGATTGTTTTGATTGTTCTTTTGTCTCGGGTGTGAAGTGATGGACCCATGGTTTCATCCATGGTTATGAAACGGCGCAAAAATTCTCGTTTGTTGCTGTGAAACTTCGCTAAACACTCAATTGAAACATCTTCACGACACTGTTTTTGCTCGAGTGTGAGCAAACGCGGCACCCATCTTGCACACAGCTTTCTCATGTCCAAATTTTCAGATAATATGCGATGTACCGCACTTTTTGAAATGCCTATTATGTCTGCTAGCTTGCGCACTTTCAATCGACGATCATCCAGTACCGCCTTGTGGATTTTCTTCATCATTTCTGGAGTCGTCACCTCATTTGGTCGACCACTGCGATGCTCGTCTTGGCAGCTCGTACGGCCTCGTTTAAACTCTGCTACCCAATATTTTACTGTTGTAAACGAAGGAGCAGACTCACCCAGAGTAGAATCCAGTTCAGCTTTTATATTGGTTGGGCTGAGGCCTTTCAAATAAAAGTATTGTATCACATAACGATGACCAATTTTCTCCATTTTCACAAATTTACTGAAAACGTTCACTATTGATGGCTGCCAAACAAATACTAAACAACGTGGCATCTTCAAACTTGAAACATATGCTTTATAGATTGTGTACTTTCTAATACAGTGATATTTTTCAAACAACTACCATCTCTAGGTCAGGCCGGGTACTTCAGGGACCACCCTCGTATACAAGGGTAGATAGATTGCAGCCCCATCGGAAGTCTTATGACATATGTGGACGGCGTATACTCGTATCTTTTCATAAACCGCTTGATCAAATCTGTTTGTTTTATAATCATAAGAAAAGGAATTCGTTGCTACCTAGGTACCAAGTATGGACACATACGTGCCTAACGTAGAGGCGGCAAGATATCTTAGTTATATAAAAAAATGAATATTGTATAATATTATATAGAAAAAAGTTATATAGAAAAAGTTATATAGAAAAAACGAACATGAAGGCGAAATGAATGATAAACGCATTGGGCAACATACGGCACGTTTAGCAGCTGCCAATGTAATCTTATCTTTGTAATAGTAGCGCTTGCTCGAAGTCCGTCTGTTTCCCAATCATATAATTAAAAAAAAGAAATTCGTAGTTTCCGAGACACTCAGGACGTAAAAAAAGTAAAAGACAAATACTGTAATCAAAGTCTAATATGAACAGATTTTACCTCATGCGTCCACCTTACTTTTCTTCACAATTACCTCCTCGATTATTACAGATCTATTATTACAGTTATTACAGAATATCGGACATTTCATGCAGAACTTGCAAGGACGAATATAATTGTTTCGTCAATATATGCAACTAATCATTTGCGTCAATAATACAACGCATGAATAGTTAAAAAGCCTGTTTACTTTCCATCGCAGAGTAATCTCATGTTGGTAAGTGTTATATAAACAAGAATTCCACATGGCGTATATACGTGCAAAATCTCACAGTGCGGCAGCAGTTGGCCGTTGAAAGTCAGTGACGCATAGTTACATTCATTCCACGCTTGCTTCTCTGGTCGCATATAATTAAGCATCGGGACGCACACATTAAATTAAGTCAGTTCGTCGCGTAAACATCAGTGAGATCCCGGATCTCGTTCGTGGGTTTCACTCGCAAATATAAATAGTTCGACAGATCGTCGCACGGTGCTTCATTGAGTTTAGTGAGAAAAAATTCTCTCGATATGATGTACGTGATCGTTTTGTCGGTGATAGTCGGCGCCTTGGGTCTCTATAACTTCCTCTTCAAGAACATAAACGTATTCAAGAAGCATGGCATACCGTACATTCAGCCTTTCCCCTACGTAGGCAACATGGGATTGACGATTCTGCGTAAGCAGTCTTTAGCCGACATCATAAAAAATATATACAACGTGCATCGCGAGGCTAAGTACAACGGTATGTTTGACTTAACATCAGCAATAATATTGGTACGCGACCCTGAACTCATCAAGTCTGTAGCGCTCAGATACTCCGACACGTTCCCGAATCATCGCACCTTCGTCACAGAAGATCAAGATCCGTTGGTAGCGAAAAATCTCTTCTCCCTAAAAGACGACAGGTGGCGGGAGATGCGAACCATGCTGACCCCGGCTTTCACTTCCAGCAAGATGAAGAGCATGTTCAAACTGATGTCAGACTACGCTGCTGACTTCGCTAATTTCATAGCGGAATTACCGCTGGACCAAGAGGTGATACAGACGAAAGACATCTTTAGGCGGTACACCAGCGACGTAATCGCCACCTGTGCCTTTGGTGTCAGCGTCGATTCCATGCGAAACCCGAAGAACCTCTTCTTTGTGTACGGCAAAGAAGCGACTACTTTTAACATTGTCGCCCTCTTGAAAATATTTATGTTTAGAATGTTGCCGTCGGTGGCAGCTCTGCTTAGACTGAAGTTCGTTCGCAATGTGATCGCGAAATTCTTTTACGACCTTGTGGACACCACCATCAAGACCAGGGACGAGAAAGGTATCGTCCGACCTGACATGTTGCAGCTGATGATGGAAAGTAGGGGAAAGAAAGAAGGTAGGAACGAATTGACGATCGAGGACATGACCAGCCAGGCCTTCGTTTTCTTTTTTGGCGGCTTCGACAGCACGTCGACGTTAATGTCTTTCGCTGCACACGAGATTGCCGTGAATGAGGACGTGCGGAAGAGACTGCAGAACGAGATAGATCAAGTACTGGAGGACACGAATGGCGAAGCGCCGTATGATGCGGTCAGCAGCATGGAATACCTGGACGCTGTAATAAACGAGACTCTCAGGATGTATCCGGTTCTCGCCGCAACGGACAGAGTATGCATAAAGGATTTCGTATTGCCGCCGACGTTACCGGGTGCGGAACCTTTTATCGTGAAGAAAGGGGAAGCCATAATGATTCCAATTTTTGGGCTTCATCATGACCCTAAATATTTCAAGGAGCCGGAGAAGTTTGATCCTGAACGGTTTCTCGGCGAACAGAAGAAGGTCACCCTGAACAGCGGAGTGTATCTCCCGTTTGGCTTGGGCCCCAGGATGTGCCTAGGTGTTCGATTTGCCCTGATGGAGACGAAAGTATTACTCTTTCACATGTTGGCACGTTGCGACCTGCTACCTTGCGAGAAGACACCGATACCGCTCAAATTAGCCAACGATGGTTTCGTCATGAAGCCCGAAGGTGGTTTCTGGTTGAAAGCAGTGCCGAGAAAGGCGCCACATCGTTCTATAGCAGTTAATATCGCGATCGACGGACACAATCTGTAAGGATATATTTTTGTTGCTTTTTTGTTGTTGTCAAATATTAGGATCTCACATGAGATAAGTATGAGGGAAACATTTATAATTAATATGAAATAAAATCCGTATTAAGGTTACAAAGGTATATAGTAATATATATGTAGGGGAAAGTTTTTTTTCATCCTGAAATTTAGTGGTAACTGAAAACTACTATTACATGATAACATAGGAACCGGTTTGTTGGCAAATTTAGATGTAATAACACAACACTTGGACGCATGTTACGTGCTGCGTATCGATTACTGAAGGAAAGCAGAAGAATATATTACGTTTCGTGCTTATGATGTGTTGAGCATTTTCTATTCGTAAGCAGTAAAACGTCCGGAAGACATGATTCTAATGAAAAACGTTACGTTACGAATTACGTTCGTTAATGTCGCAATACGTTACGGTGATTATTTTCGAAATAATAATAGACGTTTTGCTTAGTTTGCTTAATTCTACTTGCATAGCTCTTGCTCAGTCCTACTTATAAGTAAATTTATATATTATGTTAGAAATTCTGCGGGTAAATAAACAAATGGACACATAAATCAATAAATAATATATATATTTACGTTTGTATATATAACAAATAGATTTTGTAAACTGTAATAAAATTTACAAATGAAATCGCACAGCGAATCTTTGAGATACTTGAATGATGCGAAACAATATTAAATGCAATAATAAATCGTGAGTCAACGGATTTTCCCTCTCTTTAATTCTCTCTCCTCTCCTTTCACCTGAAATTTGTTATCGTCAATAAGCGGAGCCGCGGTATATCGTTAAGCGAGAGCTGTGTTTTTATACAACAGATAAGTTTTACGATTTTTTATTTATTAAATGAAAATTGATTTGTATACCTCAAGTAATTAACCATAAAAGATGCATATAAGTTTAAAGACGTAAGATAAAAATTGAATTGAATTGATTTCTGCTTCTTTAACATAGAAAACAATATAGATTGGATTAAATAAATATTATCTTTCGCAGCAATAACAGAAGAAGCTTGTGATTCATAAACGGTAATATTGATAAAATAATATTTCCTTAATTCGCATGTAGAGTAACAGTAACATGTAAAGAGTATACAAATAAAGAGTAAATAATTTTGTTTGATATAAATATATGATATATGCACCTTGCAAGACACTAAATACCTCAGATATATTTGGTTAAATGTATAAATAAAGTTGAATTAATTATCCTTAATTATATTAACTGTTTCTCGAATCGTGGTTTCTCTCACAATAGCAGACGAATATCATAACAAAAATCTGGAGTGAATGTTTTATTCTGGGCTTCCTTTTTGTATTCCTTTGTAAGTATTATTTCTCGTTGATTATTAGATTTCATTCAACCCGGCACATATTATGAAGCAAATAATTTAATAATAATGTAAAAAAACTTATATGCACGAGAGCAGCCACGTTTTTATTATCTTGGGCAATTGACTATTGTGCCGATAGCATCGATAATATGTCACTTATTTTTTAATACAAAGTGTCCTGGTGTACCTTAGTATTACATAAGCGATGACTCGACAAGTTATATATAGAAAGATATATATAAGGAAAGATTGTGCAGTACACTGGAAGTCGTTAAATGTCAACAGCAAATTGTCGCTCTGCTATTTTCCTTGATCATTTTTTCGCACATAACAATAGAAATCAAGTCAAAAATCCTGCTTAAGTAAGTAGTCGCGTGTATCCTAATGGCTGAGGTCGCATGCTGCGGCACGCTACGCGTGCTGTCGGCTCACACTAGTCTGCTTAAGCAAGTTCGCTATGCAAACATTGCAGATTTCATTCCTATCAACATCATTATGCGTCGACATAATCCGATCGAACGCCTGAAATTTATTTAATATTCAGTTTAGCAAGAATTTCGTCGACATGGTATACGTGATCGCCTTGTCGGTGATAGCCGACGCTTTAGGCCTTTATTGCTTCTTCTACGAATACCTTGATCTCTTCAAGAAACATGGCACCCGAGGCCTCTGCCGTTGGCAACGTAGGCAACGTAGGACCGTTGATTTTGCGCAGTCTGCGGACGGTGTCTTGAAGGATATGCACAACGTGCCAAGTATACGACTTCGTGACACCGGCGATAATGCAGCGTGATCCTGAGCTCGTCAACTTCATCACACACAAGCATTTCGACACGTTCCCGGATCATCGCGTCTTCGTAGAGGAGGATCAAGAGCCATTGTTCGCCGAGAATCTCTTCTCCCTTCGAGGCGACAGGTGGCGGGACATGCGGGCCATAACGAGCCCGGCCTTCACGTCCAGCAAGTTGAAGACTATGTTGAAATTGATGTCGGATTATGCCGCCGAGTTCGCCAATTTCGTGGCGCAATTACCGCCCGAGCAGAGAGTGATGGAAATGAAGGAAAGCTTTACGCGATATACCAACGATATGATCGCTGTCTGCGTCTTCAGCATCAACGTCGATTCCTTACACGACCCGCAGAATCTCTTCTACGTGTACGGCAAAGAAGGGACAAACAGTTTCAGCGTCGACAACTTCGTAAAATTGTACATATCCGTAACGCTGGCGAGCATACTCCGACTGAAGATCTCTCGTGAAGAGATCAGGTACTTTTTGGACCTGGTGGAGACCATCATCAGAATCAGGAACGAGAAGGGTATCGTTCAGCTATCGTAGCTGTCGAAGAAAAAGACAAAAGCCTGGCTGGTCATGTCTTTAATCGTCAGTTCCTTCTTACCGTCCTTCCTGTCTCTATTTTCCATCATCCAACATGCATGTCGCAGCTGATGTAAGCTATGAAGTGGCTATAAAGAAAAGAGGAATCGTGAGTATACCGATTTACGCGTTCCATCATGATTCCAAATATTTTGAGGGCCCGACAAGTTCAAGCCCGACCGGTTGAGCAGAAGAAACACGTTCTCGGTACCGGTGCTTCTCTACCGTTTAGACTGGGCCCCAGGATATGTATAGGTTACCGATTCATCCTGACGGAGACGAAGGCATTACTTTTCCTGCTGGCACGTTGCGATTTGTTATCTTGCGAGAAGACGTCGATACCTCTCAAATTAGCCAAGGATGTTGTTACAAGAATGGTTTTCGGCTGCAAGTGGTGCTGAGGGAAAACTTTCATCGCTTTGTTGCTGTTAAGAATATAAACGTCACGCGCGATCTGTGAGAGAATTTTTGTTTTTCTTCCTTCCCGTTTCCTTTTCTCGTAAACGTCGGGAAAATGATAATTTTTGTTGCTTTATCAAATCTTGAAGTTTTTGACGTTGCGGAAGAGCAAAATATTAACATGTAATAACCCGGATAGAAATGTGTGGTGATCATTGTTCATTACAATGTGATTGTCATACTGTAACTTCAACTTAATGTCTTTTTAACTCTTTCAGGGCGAGCGGTTCTTATAGGGACCAGGCCTTTTATTTCGGGAAAGTATTTCAAGGTTAAAGATAACTACGTGATTAACATGACATGGCACAGGCACAGGATGTATATAAATGATATACAAATATATATGCACTTTCTTGACCTGATTTTAATTGATGCTATTAAATGAGATATATTTCTGACATCATGACTGTTCACAACTGTTCATTCAAATATTTTACAGTAGAGAAGAACAGTCAACACAGACACAGCTGTGTATGTGTGTGCTTATTATGTCTCTTATAATATTTCAAACGAATTTCTGCTAAATTTCCGCTAAAGTAAAATTTTACTTATAATAAAAGGAAGAAGGGCAAAGACACTCATAGTTGTAATGGAAAATACTTGTCTGGCTATAGCAAAGATCTGTAAGTCCTAAAGATGTCCAAAGGACTTTCCTATGTCCTAAGGACGTCCACAGGATAGACGATAGCAGTCGGCTGTTTACCGTTAACAGCGCGCCATTACTTCTCCTCTTTCCTTGATTCTATTTTCGTGCTGAAGCAGCAGACTAAAACAGAATTCTCGGTCAAATAAGTTCGCCACGTAAACACCGGAAACTCTAATTTCGTTCGTATCCACACCTCCATACGCGAAAATACCCCGATTGAACGTCACACAGTACCGTGTTTAGTTTAGAGAAAAAAAATTTTATCGACGTAGTATACATGTTCGTCTTATTGATGATAGTCGGCACCTTGGATTTTTATTATATCCTCTTAAAGGATCCTGACTTCTTCAAGAAACACAATATACCACATCCGCAAGGGCGCAGTCAGTGTGGGACAGGAGGTGCTTGCTCCCTCGCCTAAATTTTAGCAGGAAAAAGCAATTAAATTAAAATAAAAATCATAAAAGCAAGGAAATATAACTAATACATTACAATCTACATTCCACAAAAAATCTACAGTACACATGCTCTGTAATTAAAAACCAATGACGAAGAATTAGCAACGCCTTGCGAAAATGAATGTAATGAAAATTTCTCAATTTTACTACCAGACGATCAGTGCTTACATTGCCTGCAGTAATTTTGATGTATTTCGATTAAGTAAGAAGGATTTATAGTTCCAGATGTGAAAATAAATAATAAAAATTTATGCGAAAATTAATTTTTTTCCTTTTCCTTTAACTGGCTACGCTCCTAAGGTATATCTGAGATACTTCTAGTTGCTGAACAATATCGTCGTTTTTACGGTCCTTGGCCGAACACGCAGTGCGATATGAACCCCGAAGTCAAATACATCGATATGTACGAATTAAACGGTTGGCACAGTTTTTAACACAAATTTTTTTACTGTTTAGACTCTGCATTTACGCGTCATGATTCTAAGCACTTCTCGGAAGCGGCAAAATTCAAGCCCAGGAAATTCAAGCGGGACATAACGCAGCCTAAAATGTAGGAGAGAGTGAACAGTATAATCTCGATGCTGACTATCTGTTTGGAATACGTCCAAGAGCGTGCATTCGCAACAGGTTCGTCTTACTGCAAATGAAGGTTTTGTTGTTCTATCTGCTGGCACGGTGCGGGCTGAAGACGCGCGAGAGGACTTTGATAAACTGAAACTCAAGAAACTAAACCGGAAACTCAGGAAAGGAGTTCCTCTTGGACCCCGAGGGCGGATTCAGATTGGATTTTGGGCTGAAGCAGTATTCCGCAATTATGAACGCGAATCGAGCGTCTCGCAAGGTCGAGGAGAATTGCATGGTTCGCGTATAACGAGTGTTATTAACGTTATTAACATAACATATAAGAAACCGTGAGATATATCAAGACAAAAAGCGAAATTTACACCGAGAAAAATATCTCATCATATCTGGTCGGGTAATCCAATTAAAAAGTAACAAACGGATATATATCCGATTAAAGGTAACGTCCGATCATTTCGTCATTTCACCTGATCAGATCGTGTCTTTATTAATTGAAAATTATAACGGATATAAGGGCAACTAATTTTCCGATTATGTTTCATCAGCAACTGCATCGGTAAATTCATCGGATATTTCATCGGATAAAAGCATTCATTACTTAATCAGATAATAAAAATAACAATCGGATACATCATAATTTAATCGGTTTATTTGATGGAAATTTTTCTCGGTTATAATATAATATTTATTACGTAGGATATCGCACACCTCGCGACTTTAATTTTATCGAGAGGTTGCCTGGGCAACTTAAAAACAATTAATTCTTTTTTGAAGACAATTTTTCCTTATTGTAAATGTCGAGGGAGATCATTATTCATGGCGAATTTTCAATTTCTAACGTAACATATTTTTATAGTTAAGTTCCAAAATAAAATTCTGAGTTCCATAGTAAAATCCATTTAAAATTGATCGAAGAAAATAACTTCCTTGAATAATAAAAGAAAAGTGTATCTATTAGATTAAAATAATATTAATAAAGACGAAGATAACATAAAAAAAGCTTATCGCTTCATAAGCAATAACGTAGAATAAAATCTTTTTTAATTAACATGTAAAAATAGCGACACGCAAGAGACGTATATTATTTTGTTAGCTATAAAAAATACGATTACCACACATGACAAAATCACTGAAAGTCTTTCTTCTTCTCACACACTCTCACTTTCACTGATATTTTTAGCTAAATATATAATTAAAATTAATGTAATAAGAATTGGAATTATCAGCTCTCCCGAAACTCGTTTCTACATAATCTCGTCTGAACATCGGAAACACGGGATTTTATCTCGTGTTTTTGCTTTGTTTTTCTTTCACAGCAGATTATTTTCTCGTTAATTATTGGGATATTAAACTCTGTTATTAATCTAATAATGATAAGTGTGAAGTTTATATATGCGAGTGCAATTGCCTGTTTCGTGAACATGCAACTGAACTTCTTATTTCATCAGAGGTACGAAACCTGATATTTGCGACAAAGTATCCGACTTACTATACTATACTTTCTATTGCGTCAGCCGTGACTCAACTCTATATATATGAGTAAAATTGCGCAGTGCGATAGTTGGCAGTTAAATGTCAACAGCGTGCTGTGACTCTGCTTCGTTCTCAATTCTTCTCGATTATGTTCGCGTGAACATCGCAGATTTCAATCTCTGAACGTTGAAAAGGTGCTGTGTTTAGTTTAGCGCAGCAACATTTCCTCGACATGGTGTACGTGATTATCTTGTCGGTAGTAGCCGGCGTTTTGGGCATTTACTACTTCCTCTTCAAAGACCTCGACTTCTTCCGGAAAAATGGTATACCGCATCTGAAACCTTTACCGTTGGTCGGCAACTTGGGGCCGTGGTTCTTGGGTCTGCAGTCGGTGGCCGACCTCATGAAAAAGCTGTACGACAAGAATCACGAGGCTAAGTACATCGGTTTTTACGACATGACCAGACCGGTGGTGATGTTACGCGACATCGAGCTCATCAAGTCGATCGCTCTCAAGAACTTCGAACTGTTCCCGGATCATAGCGTCTTCGTCCGCGAGGATCAAGACCCGTTCTTCTCCAGAAACCTGTTCTCTCTTCAGGGCGACAGGTGGCGGGAAGTGCGTGCCATACTGAGCCCCGCTTTCACGTCCAGTAAGATGAAGAGTATGTTCAAGCTGATGTCAGATTACGGCGTCCAGTTCGCCAATTTTATGGCGCAACTACCGCCGGAACAGAGACTGATGATAGATACGAAAGACGTTTTTTCGAAGTACACCAATGACGTCATCGCTACCTGCGCGTTTGGCGTCAGCGTCGACTCCATGCGGGATCCGAAGAACCTCTTCTACGTATACGGGAGAGAGACGACTATTTTAGACAGCGTCTCCTCCATTAAATTCTACATATTCCGGAACCTGCCGTGGCTGGCGCGGCTAATAAGACTGAAATTCATCCGCGAGCCTATCTCCAAGTTCTTCTGCGATCTTGTGGAAACCACTGTCAAGGTCAGGGACGAGAAGGGTATCGTCCGGCCGGACATGTTGCAGCTGATGATGGAAAGTAGAGGCAAGAAAGAGGGTGGGGAAGACTTGTCGATCGCAGACATGACCAGCCAGGCTTTTAGTTTCTTCTTCGGCGGCTTCGACAGCACCTCGACGTTGATGTGTTTCGCCGCGCACGAGATCGCGGTGAACGAGGAAGTGCAGAAGAGACTGCAGAACGAGATCGACCAGGTACTGGAAAACACGAATGGCGGGGCGCCGTACGATGCGGTCAACAGAATGGAATATCTGGACGCTGTGATAAGCGAGACTCTCAGGAGGTATCCGATCTTCGCAGCATTGGACAGAGTATGCATAAGGGATTTCGAGTTGCCGCCAACGTTACCGGGCGCGAAGCCCTTTATTATGAAGGAGGGGCAAACCGTGTGGATACCTGTTTACGGACTCCAGCATGATCCCAAATACTTCGAGGAGCCCGAGAAGTTCAATCCCGATCGGTTTCTCGGCGAGCAGAAGAAGCACGCCCTCAGCACCGGGGCTTACCTGCCGTTCGGCTTGGGCCCCAGAATGTGCATAGGTAACCGATTCGCCTCGTTGAAGACGAAAGTGCTACTCTTCCACCTGCTGGCGCGTTGCGACTTGCTACCTTGCGAGAAGACGTTGATACCGCTTGTGTTAGCTAAGGATGGCTTCAATATGACGGCTGAAGGAGGTTTTTGGCTGGAAATCACGCCGAGAAAGAACGCGCATCGCAGCATCGCAGTTAACAATGCCAACGACACGTGCGAGTTGTAGAAGAATTCTTCATCATTTGTTCAATTTTGATTCGTCCGAATTTTAGTATTAATATTAAATGAAATCCGCTTTAAATACTTGACTAACTGAGAGTACAAACGATATATAATAAACACAACAGTAATATTTCCTCTAATTTAAAAAATTCGCTCTCTCGTATCAGAAATTCTGTTTTATTTAGTGATAACAGAAAACTGTTGCGGAATCGGAGCAGCGAAACAGTTTTATGTACAGTTGTGTCGATTATTACAACTTCGTACATTATTGAAATTTCAGATAAAACAGGCAAGTTTAGATAAGGCGGAAAAATAAAGTCAAAAACATGATACGAAGGCACGTTTATCTCTCGATTATCGGAGGTTAAAGTAACACGTGATATAGAAGACACCATTAATGCTGCTCTATTCTTTAGAATCACGTATTAACGTTGACAATTTTCAATAGGTATGTTATTTATGAATATTTGTGTACCATTTCTACTGTTTTGGATCATCCTTACCGATTTATCGAATCTATCATGTTATGATATGCGAATATTAGTACGTAATATTTCTCATCGGAAATGTTCGACACGCCTGGAAAATAAGACAGCATTAATGGAGTCTATTGTACATTCTTTATTAATATATCTTAGCGATTATATTCGACATGATAACTGTATTTACTTGTGATCCTTTTGATAATTATATGCGTATCTTAATTCCTGATAAGTCCGACTGTTCGTCTTAGACCGTTCGAAATACGACACCTCGCGTTGGAAATAAAACAACTTCTCGCCAAAGTATGATTATCTTCTATTGTTAAGGGAACACACAGGAAAGAAAAGTGACCAGGCGAAAGAGTTGAAAGAATCGCGCTCCATTTTTATTTACAATTCCTGATCGGAAACACGAGTGTCAGACCACTGAGTTTTCGATCACAACATCGTTTGTTTTGTTTTCTTTTTCTTATTTGAGCTATTGTAGAACCTCTTCGGAATCGGTCTATCGTCGAAACGAAAACGGTAGCAAGTTTCTTGATCAAGATCCGAGACTTTTCCGTTTGTGTCATTGCGACTGGATTTTTCACAAGATGTCGAGAGTCATTCACGTATTCTGCGTGTTACAAATATATCCATAATGGAATAAGAAGCAAAGGAAATGTAAAATAATTCTGATCGGAATTTTTTCCGAACGGTTCCACAGTAGATTAGAGGGCTTTGTATCGTTGGACTGACGTCTAAAAATATAATAGAATTGTATTATAAAATAAAGTTTTTATAATAAAATAGGAAAATTACCTCGTCTCACTGGCTTTGCATATAATATATGTGTGTGTGTATGTGTGTGTGTGTGTGTGTATATCCGTATTAAAATATATAAAAATGATAAAATCTATTCTGTGTTACACGGAAAGATTTCGACGTTGTTGACTGTAGCTAACGATTGTAACGACAGATTTTTCAATTAATGTCTCTTCGATCTGGATTTTAGTTATTATTATTTTATCTCGTTTCTACTAATTAAACATGTTTACTTACACATTTTTACAGATAATATTAGGTAGTAAAGATATTTTTAAAATTTTAGTATTCCCGAAAAGTCTAGGAAGGCTACTGTAAAATATCTCTAAATATATAAATCTTTCATTTAAAATAACTCCTCTCATCACTCACCATTTTGAAATTATTTATTTATTATTTATTTAAAGATATATAAAAACAGTTTCCTTTAAAGCAGTGTTACTTCCTGTAATGCTCGATTTCAGGAACATTGATTAAATCTTAACCCGAATTTAAATTATCTTTCGACAAAGATTTAAGCTCAGATCAAGATTTAATTGACATTGATAAAATCGGACAAAAACGATTTGAGCACTTATAAAAAGAAAAAATCTATCTCTTACTTTGAGGTAGACGTTGAATTCAATTTTAGTTTGAGTCTCTTATTTACAGTAGTTCTATCCATTTCTAAAGAGTGATATTTCATGACATTTATTATTTTTTAGAGATTTCCCGAATAAGTAAAAAGCAAATTGATTAATTTTTCTTAGTAGAATAAAATTCATATTCGAAACGTAATGAGATCAGAGGAGGACACTATTGTGAGTCCTCTTGTCAAAATGTAGTTGTTATCACGAGAAATAGCAGATCTCTGAAAATCTCGAAATTATCCGTGGGCGCACCTTGTATATTTCATAGACATTTTTATAAAGATATTTCGGTCAAAATTATTTATATTGCATAACAATGATTATCACGCGAAGGAAACGTTTGTGTAACGCCGGTGCATTCAATAACGCAAGATAAAGATTATTTCTCTCGTTGATAGTAGGCTATCAAGTAGTTTAGACGCGTAATATCGTTTTTTACAAAACGCCGTTTGCAGGTTTACCATTCGTTATCCTGTACGCCTTGAAATAAATAAGTCGCTCGGTAATTATTCAAACATGTATGTTAATTTCATATGCGCATTTAGTTGTAACGTGCAGTTATGTACGTGCCATATCAACTGCATTGCACTCGATATTAATTTTTATTATGCCAGGACGGTCCATCGGAGCCAATTTTATCGTTCGGGTTTCCTCTTCGAACGCTTCCGTTCACTTTAAGCGGTAATTCGCAACTTTTTATTTCTTTTCAAAGGTCTCCCGAAGAATAAAAAATAATATCCATTCATTCTTTTCAGCAAAATGAAATTCATGCCGTGTCACGACCGCCGCGCGCATATGATGTTCACGAGGATTAAGATGTTAATAACATAAAATGAGTTTCCTAAGAATTCGTTGAAATTTACACTATATATAGATTTAAATATGACCTAATTATTGGCGCATTTAGAAAACGATTGATTATTCAAAAGCTATGATTTCACAACTGAAAATGACAGTTTTTTTACACGTTCCTTGAGGTTAGTGTCCTATTTCAATTTCTATTTGCAATTTCTCCTAAATCACAGATTCTAAATCACATTAAGAGTTTAGTGAAAAACTGCTCTGATATTAAAGATTAATGTAGAAACATACAAAAGTTTCAAAATGATTGACCATTTTGTTTTGAAAATACAGCGGTGTAAATTTCTTAACCTCTTGACATACAAATAAAACAGAATTTGATGCGTGCGAAAAATACTATTTAATTTTGCTCAATGAACAGCTATGTGCAAGCTTAGAAACAGAACTTTTTATTTTGAAATTTGCATTGCTATGTAACATTTAATCAGGTTGATATATAATGTTAATAGACAATAATTAAGTAACATTATAAAATAATAATTTAGTAGTTCTTTCAAGTATGAAATATTTCAAAACATTTTGGAACATGTAGAGGAACTAGACATTTTTCACACCGCCAAGTTATTTCGCTTCTTATATTATTTTTTACGCACACATGGCATCTCTTCGCAGGATGTCCCTGCATGAACACTTTCTGTATGAACACTTTGATGACCGTTCTCAGTCTCATTATCATCATTAGAATAGCTCATTAGACCTTCATCGTCACTTTCATACAATACATTCAACTCAGATATATTACAAAGATTATTTCTAATTTTTAGCAAATTCAAATATATAAGTATGGCATTCGCCGTGCAAGATCACTGCTATACTGAATACTGCTTTCAATGTACTTCTTTCTGATTCACTGGTTTGCCGATGCGATTTCGTTATCGGTACTGTTGAGAAGAGGGGAGCATCTTGAACATTTTAAACAAAACAGAATCGACGCACAAGTGAAACGATTGAATAATCTAATAATATGCTGCACGGCGTCCGCCGGAGACAGTTTTTGACATCTCGGAGACGTAAAAGTCTACAATGACACATGAAATGAATGACGTCTCCCAGACGTCATTGTACGTCAAGGAGTTAACTAATAGTAACAAAAAAATAAAAAAATATATATGCACATATTTAAACACTTGCACCTCTTTTTATCTGTGCATCTCTCTTAGCAATCAATGCATAAAAATTCAATGCATAAAAATAGCATTGATAAGAAAAATTAAAAAATACTGTTATTTCCGTATTTGTAATATTGCACCTCTGCTTTGTTTCAGAATAACAATTATTATTTAGGTAATGAAATCGATGTATAGGAACTTGTATAATTTTACTCGATGAACAGCAAATTTATGAGCAATTTCGTTGATGCGCCACTGATAATACGGCGTTACTGCTACCTTAAAGCGGGGGATCGCTTTTGCCGGCGGCTAAGTTCCTTCTCCTCTTTTTCCCTTTCGCGGAACACGCGCGGATTCGTCGAGTTTCAAGGCTCTCTCGGAGCGCGTTGCGTGGAGATCGGGCGCGCTTCGAGTCTACGACATCCAGCCTCTCGCATTGACCAAAGGGTATCCCTCTGCATTGGTCGCACGTTCTCGCGTAGTTGCACGGCGGATAACAGCCGTATAATGTATTCGGATACGTGATTGGGCGGTTCCAGAGACGCGATACGAGCTTGTGAATGCCACTTTAATGAGCGGTCGCGAGAGCGTGCTGCTACTTTGACTCCCTCACACTTCCAAAGGAATCGCGCGTAAAGGCGTTCCCCCTCCCCCCCTCTCTGTTTCGTACATTCGCCAGTCTGTTCGCGCGCATCGCACAGACCGCTTCTCTACTAAATAAGACTCTCGCGTGCCGCGCTCTCGTCATCGAGGCAAATGGACACTATGTTGCATCTGAGCGACTCGGTCATTAGAAGTGGTTATTCTTCGCCGGGAGAGAAGAGATCATTGTAATCTAGATAATTAGCGGTTGCGACTCGGGAGCATTGGCTGGAGCTCCCGCGCGCTAATGCTAATGAATGATAATGAAAAGATGTCCGGTGGCGCACATGGATTTTCGTGTTTGCGTCTCGTAAGACGTGTAATCAGATCACGCGAATGACTCAATTTTTTCGCGGCAGTGTGTACACTTGAATACACACACGCCGCTCTCTCGGCGAGGAACCGGCGGGATCGGCGGCAAAATAAGACTACAATAACGAGAGCGCGAACACCGAGACCGATCTCGCGTTCCTCCTTTTTCGTCAAGCGGAGAACATTTCCGCGAAATTACACGACGAGACGCGTAATAAGCGGTCCGCAGCGCGATTACTGAAGAAAATAAGAATAACGATCGCGGTCTTCCGTTTTCCGGAGTGTGCGCGCGCGCAATGAGGCAACCCGACTCGATATAAAAGTACTCCTTCTAATCTAATTCACTTACCGGCGTCGGGAAGGGACGCGTGTCGGAGAAGGGCCAGGAATTGATGAAGTAGGGATCATAAGGGTGGCTCGAAGCGATGCATTGTCTCTCCACGGACAAATTGAACGGGGGAGAAACGGCGAAAACACTCTTGCAATTATTTTCGGGGCTTCCCGTAACCACTTTCAAAGTACAATTACGAAGCGGAAAAAATGTTATAGCTGAACGTTTCCGAGCACGGAGCGATCGAAATTTATCTCCCGAATTTACAATCATGTCTTTCCCCGTGATTTCACGTCGTTCTGTTTCTCGTCTGTTTTCCTTTCTTTTATGTCCCGCTCATTCCGACATTGACAAATGATCCTATAAAAAGACCCACGTTTATATAACTCTTGCACAATATTTCCGTGAAGAACTCATTGCCATTATAACTCATGATACTGCGTATTTTATTAATATATGCGCGTAAACATCGTATTTTTTAAGAGCGATATGAAATATACAATATGGAATTTTCCGATACATTCGCGCGAGTTTCTGCATTAAAATGTAGCATACGTCGTGTTACTTTATATATCATGTTTATATGAGGTTGATTAATAGCGCTTACGACGATTAATCGTACAGTTTATGTAGTAATAATTTCATATTACATACGTTAATCAAGTGTCACATTATAATATATTTTTATATGTTACATTTATAGACATTTTCTTACAGATATGCACGCTTTGTGCTTTGCGGCGCAAAAATGACTTTTTGCCAAGTTTAAATGCGTCTTTCATTAATATGCGCGCGCGTAATATTGATAATAACCACGATATTTTCTCTCAATTGTGCGAAATGAATTATATAGGCGGCCGTCCGGCCGCGCACATCGATTTCCGTGTTTGCGTCTCGTAAGATATATCAGATCACACGAACGGCTTAAATTTTTCGCGGAAGTGTGTGTCTTAAAGTGCACACATTTCTGCGAAAAAATTGAGCTGCATATTATATATTTAATAATACAACATATTTAATCTTATTAATCGCAATTCTCATGCAGTTATTAGACAAAACAGTAGGCAACACGCGCGCGCATATTAATGAGAGACGCGTTCAAACTTAGCAGAAAGTCACGGCTATTGACGCTATTTTGCAAAATCCAAGAATGAAGGCAAATTACTGAAAGCATCAATGTAGTAATCAAAAACGAAACGTTCGTTTACTCATGCGTCTGTGAATTAGTTTAACTACTATCTACGGGTTTTACCTCATTTACGGGTTAACGTGACTTTAGAAGATAAGAACAAAATAGTATATCGATTTTAGCGTTTTCGTTAAATGAATTCAACAATACTGCTACTGAATTCAGAAGATTTACATAAATCACGACGTAGTCGCTTGTCAATTTTACTGACGCAACAGCGTTTATCTCTGTGTGATATCGTGTTACATATATTAGTAAGACATTTTGTGCCCTATTTTTAAACATCATATGCGAGCGATTATACTTCTGTTAACACGACAATAAGCATGCCGCTGCCGTTTCTTCCGGCCAGCCGCTCGCTCGTTCGCGATCTCTTCAAGGATCAACGGCGTCGTCAACAACCACCGCGGAATCGAGTGCGGGATGCACGTCGGTCCTGGGCTGGAAACTCAGCCAGAATCCACCCTCGGCCAACATTTGCATACTTTGTTTTTCGAGCCTTAACGGCTTCGAAGTCTTGGCGCAGGGCTTCAGCTCGCATCGCGCCAACAGTTGGAACATCATCACTTTCATCATCATCATGGCCAAGCGGAAACCGATGCACATCCTCCGCCCGAGGCCGAACGACATAAAATACGGCGAATTCTCGTAGCTGACGTTGTCCAGGAAGCGCTCCGGGAGGAACTCCTCAGGCTGGTCGTAGTACTGGTCGTCGCGTTGGATCGAGTAGATCGGCACCCAGAGCACCATGCCCTTCTTCATGGTGAAGGGCTTCTCGCCGGGCAACGCGGGCGGCAGCTCGTAGTCTTTCGAGCACACGCGCTCCAGGAACGAGGTCGACGGATACATCCGCGAAGTCTCCTTGATCACCGCGTCCAAGTATTTCATCCGGTTGATCACGTCGTAAGTTATCCGGCCGTTAGTCTCCTCCAAGGTCTGGTCGATCTCCCGGCGCAGCTTCGCCTGCACGTCCGGGTGCACCGCGAGTTCGTGCGCCAGGAAGGATATCGTGGTCGAGGTACTCTCGAAGCCGGCGAAGTAGAAGACGAACGTTTGCGCGGTTATGTCTTCGAGAGTGAGTTCTTCGCCGGCCACGCTTTTACCGCGATTGTCCATCAGCAGTTGCAGCATGTCCGGCCGTATGATTTTCTCGGCGTCGCGCTTCTCGATCACTCTCTTGACAGTGTCTAGGAAAAATTTCGTCACCTTCTCGTCCACCATCCGCAAGTTTAAGATCCGCGCCAGCGAGAAGGTCCTGAGGAACGCCAGCAGAGCGATAAAAGTTTCGAGGAATTTAGTGCCGTTGCGACCGTGAACGTAAAACTCGTTTTTCGGGTTTTTTATGGTATCTGTTTTGATGCCAAAGACACACGTGGCGATCACGTCGTTCGTGTACCTGCTGAACATATCCCTCGTATCCAGCTCTTTCTGGTCCGCCGCCGACGACGATGCAAACCTCGCGGAGTTCACCGCGCATTCCAATATCTGGGAGTACATAAACTTCATCTTGTGACCGGTAAACGCCGGCGATATCAGGGTCCTGATACCTTGCCATTTGCTCCCCTGCAAGGAGAAGAGATTCTTGTTCATCAGCGGGTCGTTGACGTCGCCGAAGGGCCGGCGGTCGTGAAACTTCTCGAAGTCCTTGACCAGGATGTCCTTGAGGAGCTCTGGGTCGCGCACCAAGAAGATCGGCATTGTCATGGCATAAAAGCCGTAGTATTTTGCGTCCGTCCGGAAATTGTACAGTCGCTGCCAGAATTCGCCTATCGAGATCTGGCGGAACACCACCGGGGTCATGGTTCCCAGCACAGGTATCGGCGGGATATGCAGGACGCCATGTCTCTTGAAGAAATTAAACCTCTTGAAGAGGTAGTAATAGATGCCGAGAGCGCCGATCACGATCGACAACAGTAACGACCAGTGTTCCATCGCGCGAAGTTCTTCGTTCGCAGGTGATTGTGCCCGGTGTCTTAATCAGTCGATTTCGATCGAGCGAGAAGTGAAACGACTCAGAGAAACTATCTGCGATGTTGCTTATATGAATCTAATGGAACAACTGCCGGTACTTGGTTGATATTGCATTGAACTGTCCCACCACCATTCCTCGTCCCCTTTTTCAGTGCTACGCAGTCTTTTATATAACTTCCTATCTATAGCTCGTATTTTCTTATACGGGTTATGTGATAAGAAACGAAGAGAGAGCGTCAGCACCTTTTAAACGGCAAAAATATGAGGAATTCTCGATATAAAAACGATCAAAGATAAGATATTATTCATAATTTATAAATTGAGACATATATTATTCAAAGATAAGATATATTCATGCAACATTTAGCAAAATAGCTTATTATAAATAAGTTGACCCGGTTCATTAAGAATTATAAGAATGTCCTATTTTTTAATATATCTAAATATAGAAAGACTGCGTCTTAGGAAACAATATTTAGAATAAAAGTTGTTTGGTTTGGAAAGGTCACAAAGTGATAAAATAAATTTGGTCTTCTCTACAAAAATCTATAATAAAGAAATTGTAATTTCGATTACAAAATTTTAATGATTATGACTTTCATGTGACAATTGGAATTGTCATGCAAGGTCAAACTGATTTATCATTTGTGTCCCACTCAAAATCGAACAACATTTCTTCGGAATTTTTTTTCTAAAATGCAATGATTTTTTGAAAAATTGGAGCATTTTTGTTTTAATGGATGCACCTTATATATGCGTCAACTATGTAAAAAGATGACGAGTAGAAGAGCCGTACACTGATAAGAAAAATATCTAAATAATAAGATATACAATATTTACTCGGTGGATAATAATAACATATATGTTTATATTAATATATATTTTTTATACGCTGAAAAAAATGTTTCTTAATGACAATTTTCGTGAAAGCAATTGTTTATTCTATTTGAAGGAAAAAATTATATTTAAGTAAATATGTTATTATTATCCGCCGAACAAATATTTTTTCAACATTTTTTTCTCTCACCATTAGAAAACAGAACTTTGTTCTCTGCATAGAACTTTATCTATATACGCCTATTTTTGTCTATTCATGTGAGATGTTTATCGATATTAACGATATCGTGAAACCTTTTCCGATGCGATCGAATGTGATTTTGCGCTATTGATTGCTCGCGAAGGTAATGATACTGCATGTGTTGTCAAATAACTTATTACAAATAAGTAATTACCATAATTCGCGTCGTCTGCGGGACTTCTTCGCTGCCGCCTTCGCGCAGCAGCGGATCCACCTCAGCTAGTTCAGTTTATTTCGCTAAAAGCGAGTCGAATCCCTTGCTATTCCTCGTGGTACAGCGTCATGGTTCTTACGCGTTCTTCCTCGATTTCGCGGACACGTCGGGGAGGAACCGGAAGAGGTGATAATTTAGAGACCAGTCAACAGTAACAATAACAACACTTTAATTCAATTCATCTCAAATTTCCGACAACTAATCAATTCCACAATTGATAATCGTAACCGGAAGTGATATCGAAATATCAATTCTTGAATTGGCCTGAGTTCTTTCAATTATAGGCAGCTGAATTCAATACCCCGGGAGATTCCGTAACGCGATCAAAACAGAGCGATCCCTCGCCTGAGATGTCCCGCGAGAGGCTTTATGCGGCGGATCGGAGCCGCTCGACGGCAGCTATCTTAACGCGCCTCGTGTTAACGAAAAAGCTCTCTTGCCCAGCGTCGTTACGCGAATCTCACCGGATTTTCCATTGGGCGCCAGCCGGGTCTTTCCCGACAGTAGTCACTGCTTCCGGCCGATCACGTACAATCCGATCTAGCTCTTCGCCAGAAGCAGTTTCCACCACAACCATACGAGCTCCTGACACGGCTCACTGTATAATATACAATGCAATACCGATACTATATAATATCCACTACAATACCGAATATATAATATACAATACAATACCGACAACAATTATCCGAGGACTGTGCGACCGGCAACTAGAGAAGGCAACCGAGTCCCGCGTCTGCGGGATCTCTCTCTCGAGCACGGCCCTTGTCGCCCTGCGACGTGGCCTCCTAAACCTCGTAAGTCCGTGCGACCCTACCTTCCGGGCGCCCTTCCGGACCTCCAACGAGTTCAACTTCCCGGTCCTCTTATCCCAACTGTGCCGCCGAGAATCGACGGCAAATAACCCGGAATTACACGCAACTCTAAGTCTTTTTTAACCGCGGCTGCACAATGATTCTCTTTCTCAGCCCTCGCCGCCCGAAGCTCGCCTCTCCTCAGGACTCGTTCCGATATTTCAGCCGCTTCGCTCGCTCGCTATCGAGAGGGACGTCCATTCCGCTCGTCGTCGGATCGCACAGTGTCACTCAAGCTCCGTCACCGGGTTCTTTTAGCGCAGGAGGCAGCCGTTACACGGATCTATCCCGCCGCGATCGATTTTAAAAAATAGGGCATTCTTATAATTCTTAATCAACCGGTTAAACTTATTTGTAATAAGCTATTTTGCTAAATGTTGCATGAATAATACCTTATCTTTGATCGTTTTCATAATATCGCGAATTCCTTCTATTTCTGTCGTTCGAAAGAGGTTGACGCTCTACCCCCGTTTTTCATTACATACCTCGTATAAGCATTACATACCTCGCATTTTCCTCAACCATTGCGCAATTGCGCGTAACCAGCACGTGATCAGATATGTAAAAGTGTCATTCAATTGATTAATGCAAGCATTTCTCGAGATTGACGTGCAAGGTTGCACACATACACAGGACGAATTCACCGACCGACTGAATTGCGCATTGAGCAAAGAATGCGATTAATTACGCTCTTTAAAATCGAAAACGTGATTGATTGATATCTATGAATATGTACATATTGTGCAAATCCGTTTGAGTCTAAGCATGGAATTAAGATTTATTGACGCATATTATAGATATAGAACGTGAGGAAGAATCTTAATGATACCTTTGATAAAATCTCAGTACGTCACTGCGAATTAATGACTCAACATGCGACGGAGGATTAAAGAATTATATACATCCTATATTTGCTTATATTTTCTACAAGAGGACCATTCGAATCTTCAATAATGACATTGCCCGAGATAAAATTAGTGTTTTACTTTTAGCATTTTAGCAAATAATTGTAGGAAAAACCGCAAATACATACCATGATATTACATTTCGAAAGCTCATTGATCTAAAATAAACTATCAATCATTACAATGTAATGATTATCATGTGATCATAATAAATCTATAGATGAAATTAAGAGAACGATGAATCATACTTGCATAACTTGCGATTATAAGTAACATTATCGCTATATCATTCGCTTGACTGTCTCTCACTGGCGCAACGCAAAAGAATAAATTAAAAGAAAATTATTGAACGAGCGTATATGCGTCGCATACATGCGCGTGACGTCATACGTCAGACTTTGAAGTCTTATTTCCCTATTAAAAATAATGACGCACTAGATATCCAAGTGTCAATCCCACATCGCTACATTTGTGAATTTTGTACTCGGCTATTAATCTCTAAGTAGCATTATATATTCGATTCTTCATTAGAGCTTCCGCGAACTTATATTTAGGCCGCGCTGCCGTTGACGGCATTCGGCGATACAACGTTGAGAGCGTCACTTCTCGGCTGAATCTTGATCCAGAATCTGTCTTCCGCGAGGATAGTGAACTTCTTCTTGCTGAGTCGCATCGGGTACACGATTTTCTCACAACGCTTTAGCTCGTAACGAGTGAGTAGGTGCACCAGCATAATCTTGGTCTCGAGCAAGGCGAATCTTGATGCACATCCTCGGGCCGATTCCGAACGGGATGTATTAAAAAAGGGGAAGTAACTTCTCTCGAGGGTGGGAAGTGTCCATCCGGACAAGACATCAAGCATAATTCAAATTGTACTCAGATGAAAAACCGCAGGTTTAATTAATTAAAAAATAGGACATCCTTATAATTCTTAATCAGCTTAAACTTATTTATAATAAGCTGTTTTGCTGAATGTTGCATGAATAATACCTTATCTTGGAACGTTTTCATAATATCGCGAATTTCTTCTATTTCTGTCGTTCGAAAGGTGTCGACGCTCTCTCTCCGTTACATTACATACCCCTTCGTTTGATTTTACAATTATGCTTTGTCGTCTTGTCCGGATAGAATATGTAGATGTTTAGAACACGATTAGCGACACCGTAGCGCTAGGGAGAAAACTTAATTTTTCTTTTATTTATTGTGATTTCTTGTAGAACTTATAGAACTAGGTTTTTCGATATGACTTCCAGAGAGAGCGAACTATAGGGGTAGAACGTGGTTAACTTAGCAATGACTGGGGCCGCGTCCCATACGTAATTATAACGAGGGCGAGGAGGTCTATGGGCTCCCGTTCCCATACAAAAGCATTTAATTAAGAGGCGATTCCCTATGTCGTTTTCCTCGCCATCGTCGGAGCAGAGGTCTGTTTTGATGATTCCCTGTCTGCTTTTTCACACGCCTGAGCTGATTTCAGACCCTCTGCAAAACCTGGCTCAAAAGACCAATCGTCCACCGACGAACAGTCAATCGCTGATTTTCCTACGAAAGTCAGGCAGAGCTTTATAAAGGTTTGTCTGGTTAGCGATAGACGGAACTGGTGATCCGCCAACAGGTGGATCCCCTCCGCTAACTTTTTAATGGCAGCCTTCATGTCTTCGTCATGGGATGTTTTGTTGGAGTTTTAACAGATCCAATATGTCGGAGCCCAATGCATTGAGACAAGCTCCGACTCGGAGCTGTTCTTTTGACTGATATCCGTCTCTTTTTAAGACGTTCTGTCGTTTCGCGAGAGCGGCATGCAACTCCACGTTAATCTTCGGAAGGCCCAAGCATACCAACTCGCTGCTTCCAGTATGATCAGATTCCATGAAGCATCGATGGCTGAAGATTGCTAATCTACGAATAGATCGCTCATTGATGAGATCTCGTTCTCCTTATTAGAGCTAGCGTCTTCAACTATCGTATGGGGAATCATACTAAAAAAGACTCTAGGATCGGAAATAGACGTCGACGCGTCTGTCGCTGGTTCGCCGCCTCGGTTCTCGAGAACCGTTTGCTCATCTGCGTGAAAAATAACCTCTGGAGAAGCGATATCATTATCGCCCTCCGGGGAAGGGTAAACTTCCGAACTTTCCGGAATCTTCGACGAGTTCTGCTTCCTCATAAATGCTAGAATATTTCTCAGCGTGGAAGGTAACTCGTCTTGGTGCTGCTGTTGTACAAATAGGAAAAGGCACGGTCAGATGGAGCAATCGGTTATGTTTCTTCTATGCCGTAACGAAGGAACATACCTGGTTCACCAGCCCGGTTCTGAAGAACCGTCTGCCCATCTGCCTGCATAAAGACCTCTGAATGGACGATTTCCCCATCGCCCACCAGGGAAGAGCAATTGTCCTCTGCCGCTCACCAAACAATTCGTTTGCCAATGTGGCGTCATTTTCCTTGTTCGATTCAAGGGTCTCCCTGATGGTCCTTTGAGGGGATTCCTCGGAAAAAAGTCGTGATCTTCCGCTGGGATCGCAAGAGCATCTTGTCTCGGGAGACCCGCGAGATTTAACCTTGTAGTCGCGATTCCGCGATCTTTCCCTCGAGTAACGTTTTCTTTGTTTTGATCGATGTATGGAATGGCTCCTATGTTAGTCTTTAGGCATCCTGTACCCAAAACCAATAAAAACTAATAAAACTACTGCCTAAATGAGGCATTAAAGGGATTCAGACACGCACAGAACTGTTAGCGTTACGCGCAACAGAAGCACAATGACGTGGGAAACACGCATGAAGGCGCGAAGGACGACGCCATATTTTCGCTTGTTTTTGAACTGTTGACAAATGCGTGCCGAGAAGACACGACTACATATTCCATCTGGACAAGACGGCAAAACATAATTTATTTTGCGCAACACTGGACTTTTTTCTCAACTATTGCGCAATTGTATGTATCAGAGATAACACGGAAGGTGTATGAAAGCAGCACGCGGATATCAAATACGTCAAAATATGTCATTCAATTGATTAACGTAAGCATCTTTCGAGACTGATATGCAAGATTGCACACAGAACGAATTGACCGACAAACTGAGTTGGGCCTTGAGCAAAGAATGCAATATTTATTACGTTCTTTATAGTCGGAAACGTAACTGATCGATTTTTCTGAATATGTAAACATTGGGCAAATCCATGTGGTTTTAAGCGCGAAAGCGTGCATCTAAAATTTATTCACGCATTTATAGGCGTAGAGCGTCAGCAGAAATCTTAATAACTCCTCTAATAAAAAGCTCAATAAATCAATGCGAATTTATGACCCAACATGCGAGAAGAAAGATTAAAGAATTGCCTACTTACTATATTTGCATATATTTTCTACGAGAAACCACTCGAATTTTCAATAACGATCGTACCTGAGATAAAATTAGTGCTTTAAATTTACCACTTCAGAAAATAATTGTAGGAAAAATCACAGATGCAAGGCGGGATATTACATTAAATAGGCTCATTAACCTAAAATAAAGTATCATTATTACGTAATGATTATTATGTAATCACAATAAATCCACAGATTAAAATAAGGGAAGGATGAATCATACATGCTTGCATAAGTTGTGATTATAAATTATCGAATACATATTCTATCAACGCTGCCGCGGACTTATATTTGGACATTGGCCGCGCTGCCGCTGACAGTGTTCGGCGATACAACATTGAGAGCGTCACTTCTCGGCTGAATCTTGATCCAGGATCCGCCTTCCGCGAGGATAGTGAACTTCTTCTTGCTGAGTCGTATCGGGTACACGGTCTTCTCGCAACGTTTCAGCTCGCAACGGGCCAGCAGGTGCACCAGCATCACCTTGGTCTCCAGCAAGGCGAACCTCTTGCCGATGCACATCCTCGGGCCGATTCCGAACGGGAGATACGCGTCCGGATTAAAGCCCATTTTGTCCTCGTCTAAGAAGCGTTCGGGACGGAAGCTCGCCGGGTCTTCGAAGTTCTTCGGGTCGTGATGAAGAGCATAAACGGGAAACCAGACAGTCGAACCTTTCTTCAGGACGTGAGGCTTGTCGCCGGGTAGCGCCGGAGGCAGTTTGAATTCTTTCACGCACACTCTGTCGAGAAAGAGCACCGCCGGGTACATCCTGAGCGCCTCGTTCATAACAGCGTCCAAGTACTGCATCCCCTTCACTGCCTCGTAGGTCAACGTTCCATCGGTGGCCTTCATGACCGCGTCCACCTCGGCACGCAGCTTCGCCTGCACGTCCGAATTCGTGGTAATCTCGAGAGCGGCGAAGCACATTAAGGTGGAGGCTGTTTCAAAGCCGCCGATGAAGAAAAGGAAGGCTTGCGAAGTTATGTCCTGGATAGTCAGCTCCTTACCGGAGCCTCTCTTGCCTCTACTGTCCATCATTAGCTGCAGTATGTCCGGCCGCACGATGTTCTTTACTTCCCTGGTATACATCGTGTTTCTCACGATATCATTGAAAAACCTGGTCATTTGATTGCTAACCGTCTTGATGCTCAGAATCTTGCACAAGAACGGCATGCTCCGACATAAATAGAACTTGATGGTGGTGATGATGGTAAAAGTTGTAGCCTCCATGCCGTACATATAAAAGTCATTTTTGGGGTTTCTCATGGAGTCGACGCTGATGCCGAAGACGCAGGTCGCGATTACGTCGTTCGTGTACCTGGTGAAGCTGTCCTTTAACTCCACGACATTCTTGTCCGTCGGCATTTTCGATAGGAAGTCGGCAAAGTCGGCAGCGCAGTTGGACATCAGCTCGAACGTGGTCTTCATCTTGCCGGATGTGAACGCGAGGCTCAGCAGCTTTCTCAACTCTCGCCATTTATCGCCACGAAGGGAGAACAGGTTCTTACCCAACATCGGGTCGTTGACCTCGTCAATAAAGGAACGATGTTCGGGGAATATCTCGAAGTTCTTCACGGCGATGGATTTGATGAGCTCCGGGTCGCGGATCATCACTACCGGATTCATGGCGTCGAAGAAGCCGACGTACTTAGCGTTCGGGCTCATATCGTATACCTTCTTCAGGAGCTCGGCCATCGAAGTCTGGCACAGAAACATCGGCCCCAGGTTGCCCAACACGGGCCACGGTGACACATGGTGAATCCCGTGCTTCTTGAAGTAGTCCAGGCCTTTGAAACAATAACGGTAAACAGCGTAGCCGCTGGCCAAGAGAGACAACAGTACCCAGAATTCCATGACGACGACGACGACGAGACGCAGTCGGAGAGACACGAATGATTATTTCGAGGTAACGTGCGCGAGGACACTGTCGGAGTCACATACGACTACCTCGTTTTTGTATCTCATCGTCGACCACTAGTTACGTAAGCTGACGGACGATTATATATTCGGTGTCACGTCGAAAACAATACTGGACAACGATTCGTCGGTGAATTTTATTACTATTCAATGCACCACGAGCAGTAATGTATTCCTTTAGATCGTCTTATCTGCGCTATCGTCTATATATATATATGCCGATTTCGCGGGAAATGAGATTGCGGATTGAACTATAATAATAATGGAGTGTGCATAAAACGTGCGAATTGCAGAACAGCCGACGAGGACCAAACTCATGGGATAAAACTGTTAATCAAAGTGAAATTTTAATCCGATAAATATGTCGAATCACGTGAATTTAACCTGATTTGGTCACGATATATCTTGCTGCAATCGTGTATATATGAGGTGACCCTGAATAACCACACGCAGAGCATATTTGGAAATCATCAATCGAAAGACTAAAGGCTGCTTCACGCCTGTAGTCACTGCAAATTATTTGGTTTTACTGTGACAAGCCGGGAGAATCTTGGTAGTAAACAGAGCAACGTTTACCAAGTTGCAGGCGAAACAGGAAACTTATGCGCGCGTATAATTTAAATAATTTGGGTGAATAATACTTCATCAGCTTTTTCAAGGCCCCACATATTCTCAAAACGTCGAAAAACATTTCGTGCAAAAAGTAATTTATGTCGCTTAAGGATATTAATTTATTTATAATAATCCTTTCAGTGACATCAGTAAAAAGAAACATGAGTTAAAAATCCTTTCATAACAAGTAATACGCAAATTTATCGAGAAAGCGATTTATCGATATTGCAGAAAATTTGTTCCACATAAAAGAATTTTTTACACATGCCGCTGAAAGGATAATTATAAATAAAGTAACTCATACAGCACATACACATTGAATCAACATCTCAGAAACGTTGCATTGCATCGTTGCAAATTTTGCGTCAACGTTGCGAAATGTAAAGTCAACGTCGAAAACATATTACAGAAACATCTAATGTCCGCTAAATTGCTATGTCTTATAGACGTAATTCCACACTTAAAAAACATTATTCAACACACAGCAAGAAGCAATCCTAACTATTTGCCTGTAACCGTAAAAATCGTTTTCTTTTCGCTAAAAAAAGTTAACTTTTCTGTGAGAGATTTACTTTCTGAGACCATAAAATTATGGTCCGCTTTGAGCTGGAAAAAAATCAATCATAGATATAATCGAAAACTCTCTTTCAATTATTTTCGGGGCTTCCCGTAACCACTTTCAAAGTACAATTACGAAGCGGAAAAAATGTTCTAGTTAAACGTTTCAGAGCACGGAGCGATCGAAATTTATCTCTCGAATTTACAATCATGTCTTTCCCCGTGATTTTACGTCGTTCTGTTTCTCGTCTGTTTTTCTTTCTTTTTTGTCCCGCTCATTCTGACACTGACAAATGATCCTATAAAATAATCTACGTTTATATAACTCTTGCACGATATTTCTGTGGACAACTCATTGCCATTATAAATCACGACACTGCACATTTTATTAATATATGCGCGTAAAATAACTTCGTATTCTTTAAGAGTGATATGAAATATACAATAAGGAATTTCCGATACATTTGCGCGAGTTTCTGCATCACAATGTAGCATACGTCATGTTACTTTATATATCATGTTTTTATGATGTTGACTAATAGTGCTTACGACGATTAATCGTACAGTTTATGTAGTAATAATTTCATATTACATACGTTAATCAAGTGTCTCATTATAATATATTTTTATATGTTACATTTATAGACATTTTCTTACAGATATGCACGCTTTGTGCTTTGCGGCGCAAAAATGACTTTTTGCCAAGTTTAAACGCGTCTTTCATTAATATGCGCGCGCGTAATATTGATAATAACCGCGATATTTCCTCTCAATTGTGCGAAATGAATTATATAGGCGGCCGTCCGGCCGCGCACATCGATTTCCGTGTTTGCGTCTCGTAAGATGTATATCAGATCACACGAACGGCTTAATTTTTTGCGGAAGTGTGTGTCTTGAAGTGCACACATTCCACGAAAAAATTGAGCTGTATATTAAATATTTAATAATACAACATATTTAATCTTATTAATCGCAATTCTCATGCAGTTATTAGACAAAACAGTAGGCAACGCGCGTGCGCATATTAATGAGAGACGCATTCAAACTTAGCAGAAAATCACGGCTATTGACGCTATTTTGCAAAATCCAAGAATGAAGGCAAATTACTGAAAGCATCAATGTCGCAATCAAAACCGAAATATTCGTTTATTCATGCGTCTATGGATTAGTTTAACTACCATTTACGAGTTTCATCTCGCGTCCATTAATCTGCATTATTAATCATACGGGTTAACATGACTTTAGAAGATAAGAACAAAATAGTATATCGATTTTAACATTTTCGTTTAATGAGTTCAATAATACTGCTATTGAATTTAGAAGGTTTGCTCAAATCACGACGTTGTCGCTTGTCAATTTTACTGACGCAACAGCGTTTATCTCTGTGTGATATCGCGTTACATATATTAGTAAGACATTTTGCGCTCTATTTTTAAACATCATATGCGAGAGATTATACTTCTACTGACACGACAATAAGCATGCCGCTACTGTTTCGTCCGGCCGGCCGCTCGCTCGTTCGCGACCTTTTTAAGGATCAACGGCGTCGTCGTCAATCACCGCGGAATCGAGTGCGGGATGCACGTCGGTCCTGGCCTGGAAACTCAGCCAGAATCCACCCTCGGCCGACATTTGCATACTTTGTTTTTCGAGCCTTAACGGAATCGAAGTCTTGGCGCAGGGCTTCAGCTCGCATCGCGCCAACAGGTGGAACATCAGCACTTTTATCGTCATCATGGCGAAGCGGAAACCGATGCACATCCTCCGCCCGAGGCCGAACGACATAAAATACGGCGAGTTCTCGTAGCTGACGTTGTCGAGGAAGCGCTCCGGAAGGAACTTCTCAGGCTGGTCGTAGTACTGGTCGTCGCGTTGGATCGAGTAGATCGGCACCCAGAGCACCATGCCTTTCTTCATGGTGAAGGGCTTCTCGCCGGGCAACGCGGGCGGCAGCTCGTAGTCTTTCGCGCACACGCGCTCCAAGAACGAGGTCGGCGGATACATCCGTGAAGTCTCCTTGACCACCGCGTCCAAGTATTTCATCCGGTTGATCACGTCGTAAGTTATCCGGCCGTTAGTCTCCTCCAAGGTCTGGTCGATCTCCCGGCGCAGCTTCGCCTGCACGTCCGGGTGCGCCGCGAGTTCGTACGCCAAAAAGGATGTCGTGGTCGAGGTACTCTCGAAGCCGGCGAAGTAGAAGACGAACGCGTGCGCGGTTATGTCTTCGAGAGTGAGTTCTTCGCCGGCCACGCTTTTACCGCGAGTGTCCATCAGCAGTTGCAGCATGTCCGGCCGTATGATTTTCTCGGCGTCGCGCTTCTCGATCACTCTCTTGACAGTGTCTAGGAAAAATTTCGTCACCTTCTCGTCCACCATCCGCAAGTTTAAGATCCGCGCCAGCGAGAAGGTCCTGAGGAACGCCAGCAGAGCGATAAAAGTTTCGAAGAATTTAGTGCCGTTGCGACCGTGAACGTAAAACTCGTTTTTCGGGTTTTTTATGGTATCTGTTTTGATGCCAAAGGCACACGTGACGATCACGTCGTTCGTGTACCTGCTGAACATCTCCTTCGCATCCATATCGTTCTGGTCCGCCGCCAACGACGATGCAAACCTCGCGAAGTTCACCGCGCACTCCAATATCAGGGAGTACATGAACTTCATCTTGTGACCGGTGAACGCCGGCGTCAACACGGTCCTGATGCCTTGCCACTTGCTCCCCTGCAAGGAGAAGAGATTCTTGTTCATCAGCGGTTCGTTGACGTCGCATAAGGGCCGGCGGTCGTGAAACTTCTCGAAGTCCTTGACCAGGATGTCCTTGAGGAGCTCTGGGTCGCGCACCAAGAAGATCGGCATTGTCATGGCATAAAAGCCGTAGTACTTTGCGTCCGTCCGGAAATTGTACAGTCGCTGCCAGAATTCGCCTATCGAGATCTGGCGGAACACCACCGGGGTCATGACTCCCAGCACAGGCATCGGCGGGATATGGAGGACGCCATGTCTCTTGAAGAAATTAAACTTCTTGAAGAGATAGTAATAGATGCCGAGAGCGCCGATCACGATCGACAACAGTAACGACCAGTGTTCCATCGCGCGAAGTTCTTCGTTCGCAGGTGATTGTGCCCGGTGTCTTAATCAGTCAATTTCGATCGAGCGAGAAGTGAAACGACTCAGAGAAACTACCTGCGATGTTGCTTATATGAATCTAATGGAACAACTACCGATACTTGACTGATATTGCTTCGAACTGCCCACCACTATTCCGCGTCCCCTTCTTCAGTGCTATGCAGTCTTTTGTATAATTTTGCATCCTTTCTATATCCCATGTCTTTGTCTTGTCGTATTTGCTTATACGCAGTATGTAATGAAAAACGGAGAGAGAGCGCCAACATATTTCGAATGATAGAAATAGAAGGAATTCGCGATATTATGAAAACGATGAAAGATAAGGTATTATTCATGCAACTTCTACCAAAATAGCTTATTATAAATAAGTTTAATTGGCTGATTAAGTATTATAAGGATGTCCTATTTTTTAATATATTAAATGTAGAAATACTGCGTCTTAGGAAACAATATTTAGAACAAAAAATTGTTTGGTTCTGAAAGGGTCACAAAGTGATAAAGTAAATTTGGTCTTGTCTACAAAAATCTAGAATAAAGAAATTGAAATTTCGAATAAAAAATTTTAATATGACTTTCATGTGGCAACTGCAATTGTTATGTAAGGTCAAACTGATTTGTCATATATGTCCCACTCAAAACCAAACAACATTTCTTCGGAACATTTTTCTAAAATACAATGATTTTTTGAAAAATTGGAGCCTATTTTTTTAAATGGATACACCCTACTTGTGCGTCAACTACGTAAAAAGATGACGAGCTGCAGAGCCGTATACTGGGTAGAGAAATATCTAAACCATAACATATAAAATATTTACTCGGCGGATAATAATAACATATTTATTTATATTACTATATACGTTTTGTTTTGTGCTAAAAAAAATGTGTCTTAACACTTTATAGTCCGCGGTCCACTCGAAGACGCTTGACTAATGTGTTCGAACTTCTCGAAGGCATAATATGAAAGTAGCCGCGCTTATTTGATTGATTTTCTTTTTATATAAATGTTGATATCTAAATAAATATTGAACCTAGCGTATCCAATAAACTTTTATCGTAAAGTTCACATTTTTCTCTATTATTAAACACTATAAAAGTTAACTTTTCTGTGAGAGATTTACTTTCTGAGACCATCAAATTATGGTCCGTTTTGAGCTGGAAAGAAATGAATTACAGATATAATCGATTTTTTAAGTGCATACATTATATCGAAAAGATTAATAAAAGAATAGAAAACATATTTCTCTTCTCGTTTATATGCAAATATTGGTTTTCCTCCGTGGATATAAATTAATATTTTCATCGTCTCATGATTCTGACGAGATTCGTCTCACGACACATCGACGAAATATCAGTAATACATCATCTATGTATGACCATATAATATGAAACAAAATAATATAAAATTCGGCATAATACGAAACCAACCAACAGATAAATAAACAAATGCAATTAGAGAATACGTGTACGATTGATAAATAATAAATCAATGACTGATTGTAAGAGGCGTATTTATCTTCTACATCTTGAATTTCTTTACTGAAGAAAAATTTGTGTTAGATAATCTTTGGGGTCTGCGACTATCTCGTTTTTATAAGTCACATGCGTCTACCTCGTTTTTATAAGTCACCATCGACCACTCGCTATGTAAGCCGACGGACGATTATATATTCGATGTCATATCAAAAATCAAATTGACAACGATTGTCAGTGAATTTTATTATTATTCATTGCACCACGAGCAGCAATGTATTCCTTTAGATCGTCTTATCTGCGCGATACGCCAATTTTATGGAAAATGAGATTGCGATGTGAATTGTAATAATAATGAAATGCGCATACGAAAAACGCATTGCAGAACAGCCGTCGAGAACCAAATTCATGAGATTAAACTGTGAATCAAAGTGAAATTTTAAACCGATAAAAATGACGAATTATGTGAAATTAACCTCATTTGGTTACGAGCAAATACGGATCTCATCGCAATCTTTAACATGTTTGAAATCTTTACAGGCGTAGAACGTGAGCAAAAATCTTAATGATACCTTTAATAAAATCTCACTAAGTCATTGCAAATTTATGACCCAACATGTGAGACGGAGGATTAAAGAATTGCATACTTCCTATATTTGCTTATATTTTCTACGAGAGAACCTCTCGAATCTTTAATAATGACCGTGTCTGAGATCAAAATAATGTTTTATTTTTAACATTTTAGCAAATAAATATGGGATAAATCGCAGATACATGCCGTGATATTACATTTAGAAAGCTTATTAACCTAAAATAAACTATTATTATCACGTAATAATTATCATATAATCATGATAAATCCACAGATGAAAATAAGGGAACGATGAGTCATACTTACATAACTTGCATAACTTGCGATTATAAGTGACATTATCGCTTTACGATTGACTTGACCGTCTTTTACGGGCGCAACGCAATAGAATTAATTAAAATCAAAGTATCGAACGAGCGTCTGCACGTATATGCATCGCACACACGCGTGTGAATGAGTCAGCTTGGAAGTCTTATTCCCCATTAAAAATAATGTCGCACTAGATATCAAAATGTCAATCCCACATCGCTACATTTGTGAACTTTGTACTCAGCTGTTAATCCTTTGACTGCTAACTGCTCTAAGTTGAAGCGCTTCGCGTGAGCGGCGTGCGGCCGGCAGTAGCGATCGCTGCGGACTGAATACTTTTGCGCGCAATATGGATCTTATCGGCGGCGTATTAACACTATGCCGTCCGGGGACACCACGTTGGTGTCCCGCGAAAACTATCGCGCAAAGGCCGATGGCACCACGTTGGTGTCGTGCGCAAAACTATCACGCAAAGGCCGGTGACAGCACCGTGGTGCCGTTTGTGTTCTGATTGTGTGCTGTTGGTGTTCTCTTTGTGTTCTGTTTAAGTAAATAAATAAGTTACAGACATAAGCGTGTTTTTTATTTTTATAAGTACTTGCGCCCTTTGATAATGGCAGACGAAAGAGAAGATACGATTATTCAAGATGAATGCGCGGACAATTTGTCTGACGTTTCAATTGAATTTGATGATTGCGAAGAAGTAGAAGACATCTAAAAGAGAAATACTAAGTACCCAATAAAATATTAATAAATAAATAAATATATAATACAGAAAAATGTTACATTTATTTATATATATCCTCGAAATTTCATGAAAATAGCGGGACAGGATTGAAAACTAGTGAGAAACTAATGAGAACTGACGATTTATGATCTCCCGAAAACCTCGAAAAACCGCCGTCGCCGAACAAAAAAATCCTGATGAAACGTGCGGACGGCAAAGTGTTAACACATTATAATATAGTACACAATCCAATTACTATTACTTTGTCCACTGCAAAATGAATCCAATCATTTTGTTATTTTCAATATATATTGTTTATTCACCAGTGGTAAAGTTTTAAAACGCCATAATTTAGATAGTTATAATGTATGTGTTTGGATATTGGAAATTGAAAAATTGAACAAATAACAAGTAAGTAACATAAATACTCAATATATAAACAAAAGACATGAGACAGCAGTAAACAGCCAAAGCCTTCGCCGAGCGCGCATTTGCGTCTATAGTCTACATCGATGGTTTTCGCTGGACGCATATATGCACCTATAGCAGTCAAAGGGTTAATTTCTAAATAGCATTATATATCCGATTCTTCATTAGAGCTTCCGCGGACTTATATTTACTCCGCGCTGTCGTTAACAGCGTTCGGCGATACAACGTTGAGAGCGTCACTCCTCGGCTGAATCTTGATCCAGAATCCGCCATCCGCGAAGATATTAAAGCGCTTCTTGCTGAATCGCATCGGGTACAGGGTCTTCTCGCAACGTTTCAACTCGCAACGGGCCAGCAGGTGCACCAGCATCACCTTGGTCTCCAGCAAGGCGAATCTATTACCGATGCACATCCTCGGGCCGATTCCGAACGGGAGGTACGCGTACTGATTGATGGTCTTTTTCTCGTCCCCTAAGAAGCGTTCGGGACGGAATCTATCCGGGTCTTCGAAGTTCTTCGGGTCGCGAGCAATGGCGTGAGCGGGAAACCAGACAGTCGAACCTTTCTTCAGGACGTGAGGCTTGTCGCCAGGTAGCGCTGGTGGCAGTTCGAATTCTTTCTGGCACACTCTGTCGAGGATGATCGCCGACGGGTACATCCTGAGCGCCTCGTTCACAACAGCATCCAAGTATTGCATCCCGTTCACTGCTTCGTAGGTCAACGTTCCGTCGGTGGCCTCCATGACCTCGTCCACCTCGGCACGCAGCTTCGCCTGTACGTCCGGATTCACAGTGATCTCATAAGCGACGAAGCACATTAATGTGGAGGTGGCATCGAAGCCGCCGAAGAAGAAAAGGAAGGCATGCGAACTCATGTCTTGGATAGTCAGCTCCTTACCGGGATCTCTTTTGCCTCTACTGTTCATCATTAGCTGCAGCATGTCCGGCCGCACGATGTTCTTTACGTCCCTGATGTACATCGTGTTTCTCACGATCTCAGTGAAGAACTTGCCCACTTGACTGCGAATGACCTTAATGCCCAGAATCTTGCACAAGAACGGCATGCTCCGACATAAATAGAACTTGATGGTGGTGATGACGGTAAAAGTTGTAGCCTCCGTGCCGTACACATAAAAGTCATTTTTGGGGTTTCTCATGGAGTCGACGCTGATGCCGAAGGAGCAGATCATGATCACGTCGTTCGTGTACCTGGTGAAGGTTTCCTTTAACTCCACGACGTTCTTGTCCGTCGGCATTTTCGATAGGAAGTCGGCAAAGTTGGCAGCGCAGTTGGATATCAGCTTGAACATGGTCTTCATCTTGCCGGATGTGAACGCGGGGCTCAGCAGGTGTCTAAACTCTCGCCACTTATCGCCGCGGAGGGAGAACAGGTTCTTACCCAACATCGGGTCGTTGACCTCGTCAATAAAGGAACGATGTTCGGGGAATATCTCGAAGTTCTTCACGGCGATGGATTTGATGAGCTCCGGGTCGCGGATCACCACTACCGGATTCATGGCGTCGAAGAAGCCGACGTACTTAGCGTTCGGGCTCATATCGTATACCTTCTTCAGGTGCTCGGTCATCGGAGTCTGGCGCAGATAAAACGGCCCCAGGTTGCCCAATACGGGCCACGGTGTCACATGGCGAATCCCGTGCTTCTTGAAGTAGTCCAGGCCTTTGAAATAATAATGGTAAACAGCGTAGCCGATGGCCAAGAGAGGCAACAGCACCCAGAATGCCATGACGACGACGACGACGAGACGCAGTCGGAGAAGTGCCAACGTTTATCTCGACTCGCGAAGTGAGGAGCGCGAGGAAAATGTCGAAGTCACATGTGACTTCCTCGTTTATATATCTCACCGTCGACAAGTAGCTACGACAAGTAGCCGACGAACGATTATATCTTCGACGTCACCGCAAAAATTGACAACGAGTGTCGGTCAACTTTATTATTAATTATAGCATTAGGAGTGGCAATGTTTTCCTCGAGTTCGTCTTATCCGCGCGACACAGTGATTTCGCGTTAAACGAGATTGCAAATTGAATGCAATAACAATGAAATGTGCATACAAGAAGCGCGATTTACAGTACAGCTGAGAACAGGACTCGTGAGGTTAATCGAGGTGAAGTTGTTAAGTGAGGTGATATTTTAATCCGTTAAAAAATGATGAATCGTGTCTACGGTCGAGAATTTAATTTGATTTCATCGGTACTTCTTCTGCTTTTTTAAGGCCACAATTATTTTCAAAACCTTGAAATAACACTTCATGCAAAAAGTAATTTATGTTGCTTAAAGATATTACTTTATTTATTAACTGTTCTTTCAGTGATATCAGTAAAAAGTCCTTTTATAACAAGTAATATACAAATTTATCGAGATTTTACATATAACTTGTTTCATTCGGAAGAATTTCTCACCGATGCCACTGAAAGAATAACTTTGAATAAAGTAACTCATACAGCACATAAACGTTGAATCAACATCTCAGAAATATTTTATTGCGACGTTGCAAATTTTGCATCAACTTTGCGAAATGTAAAATCAAGGTTCAAGCATATTGCAGAAACATCTAATGTCCGCTAAATTGCAATGTCTTATAGTCGTTGCAATTCAACATTTAAAAAAACATTATTCAATACACAGCAATAAGCAATCCTGACCGTTTGCTGGTAACCGTGAAAATCGTTTTACATTTTTTAAATTTTTTCGCGTTCTGCGTTGGTTCGACGTCGAGCGGCATCCAAGCAGTCTGTTGAAATTTTATTTTACTTCAATATGTTAAAATGTAATATATTAACAAAGTAAATATATTAATTTAACATTATATTTATGTACTTTCTTCATACTCTGCATGTTAAAGTAACACAAAAATTTCAATGGGCCGTTTTTAATATAAAATTTTTTCCTCTATACGCATACTATTTTATGCTGTTATCTCTGATAAATTCAATTACTTCAAAATGTCACTATTAGATTAAATGTATTGTAATCTTAAGTGATATATTGTAATCTTAAGTGATATATCTTGGATAACATCCGATTTTAATAAGTCTTTCGAGTCGACACACGGTTATTTATTTCCACGGGGTCGTATAGCCTAGTCGAGATCCCTTTGTTCGTGTGTTATTCTACCTCATGTATATTCTATTTAGAAATTTTCCGCTTCACATATTATTGTTCCACATATCGCACGGACATATGTACATTCTGCAATCAAACGTAGTAAAAATCTATTAAAAATTCTTCAATGTGCGTATTAAGTTATCCGCATTACACACACATATTCCCTTACTCTCACTCTCTCTCTCTCTCTTTCTCTCTCTTTCCTCCTCTCTCCTTCTCCGCGATATTTGTCCGATCGGTGGCGTCCCTTTTCCATCCGAGTCCGATCTATACTGGATTGCCGGGTAATACCGCAGGTTATTTGGCTTTCTCTCTTAAACACCGTGGAACGTCGCCTTGGATCCAGGATATTGCGAACGATGGGATCAGCGTACGGAAACAAAGCCGGGCACTTAGCGGCAAATTAGCGATGGCTGGGAAAGGGGGAGGGGAGTCACTGTCGCTCTTCATTACACCGATACCCTGCCCTCCTCTGCCTCCTCAACCTCTCCCAGAACATCCCCCTAACTCCGTCTAACCCTCTTAACCTCGTCCAGACAATGCACACGCCGTTCCCTCCTCGCATACGTGACGGCGAGCCAAACGCCGACTGCGTGCGGAAAAGCTCCGAAATATAACGATCAAAATTCGCCGGAGATGGAGCCTGTAAATGGATCGCTCGGTCCTGCAACTTGTAAGATCCGTGCGTTATCCTCTTACCTCAATTTCAAGTGTTCAATTTCAAGCATTAACATATCGCCAACCATGCGAATTACGCCTCACCGGGCTTCGAAAACGTTAAAATAGTTCAAGTTCGCACTAATGTGTGTGAAATCTGTAGAGTTAAATATTCAAAAAAGAACTTAACAAATGTTAATATCAAGTCAAGGTAGGTTTTCATTGGTCTATAGGCCATATAAATGGGCGCAAAACTGCCCTTAAGAATCAAAAGAGCACCGAAGTTCCGATTCGGGAACGCGTGAGTACGAATGCATTCCCCGAATCAAAATCTTGATTTTACATTAAACCTTTGATTCTATTATAATAATGACGTTTTAAATTTCCGCTTTCGCTGTATTTAGAGCCAAAATAGATCGTTTTGAATACTCATTTGAATTTAATGATCGAAATATCGGGAGCATTTGTAGCTTCCAGGTAGCATCGGAATGGAATCAGTGAGATGAAAAGTTCAACAGAGAAGTCAATATGTACTAGTATCGGCAAAATAGGTTTCCATTCGACTATAGAAGCCATCTAAGTAGACGTAAACTATTAGTTAGTTAAGAGCGTTAAAAAAGCATTAAAATTTCAAGTATGCTCGCGATTTCATGCTGCGACGTATATTCCGAATACTTCACACGTGAATGCCGTGCTGTAATTGCGACTTAATTTCAATTGATACAATGGGGCGATTTTGCGGTCGCTTCTGCGGGCGGGAGTTACGTGTAGAGCATCAAAAAGAAGAGAATTACAAATTTCCAATTCTTGGGAGAGAGCGAACGAGCGAGCGAGAAAGAGAGAGGAAGAGAAAGAGAGAGTGAGGGGGAGAAAGAGGGGGGGGGGAGTCGTCGATGATCATTTTTAAGGATTTCAGAGTGCAGAAACGAAACCTCGGTAGCGCGAGGCATATTGAAGGGAGGATACATTTCTGTGGAAGGAAACGCGAAAACGTGCCGAACGAAAGTACGACGGACGGCGAGTAGGAGGAGACGGGGGAAGAAGAGGCGGAAAAAGCGGGGAATGGGAGAGTGTAACAGAGTCCATTGTTGAAGCTTATTGAGAATCTGCCAATAGCCCGGGATTCAATTTGACTGGTGAACCGTGAACGCCATTTAATATACAGGCGCGTACGGCGAGACGTCTCGCTTCGCGCGAGCTTCTGCAACGCAACAGGCACGTGAAACACACCACCCACGCGTTCTCACTTTCGCTTATCTTCGGTTACCCTCGCTCGCTACGGAGGGAGGATGAAGGAGTGAAAGAGAGAGAGAGAGAGAGAGAGAGAGAGAAACGGAAGTTCCGAGATGTTCGATATTAGTGGAGTTACAACCGAACCCTTTTCGGTTTGCGCGATACCTCGTCGTCGTCCCCGCTTGCCGACGGAACTCCAACTTCTTTTTTGCCGTCCGTACACTCATTCGCTCGCTCGTCACCGTTCGTCACGCAGTTGCTTTGTCTCGTTCATTTGACTTTACCTCGTCTCTCGCGAACGTGAATCCGCGGGCAACGATTCCTGCCGAAGTAGTCTAATCGTATCTAATGGAACAAGTCCGAAAAGTGCCTGCTCTATTCTAACTAGATCTATCCGGAAGGGTATTCGTATAAAAAGCTTACACGCACAAAATGATCCGGTCGTTAGCTAAAAATTAGTTGTAGAAGTAAAATGCATTCGTTGAGGTACGACTTGATTAGCTAAAATTAATAGCACGAATAATTTAGGTTAGCTGTGCTCTCACTCAGGTTATATTATATATATAGACAACGTGAAACACGATTACATCAATCGACGAAGTTCTGTAATATCTAAAGTGATTGACTCACGATCCACAGGTCTCGGGTTAAAGTTCTCGGATTAATGTTGAAACGTGTTTTTCAAATACGACATAGCATTAAATCAAGTAAATAGCATCATTTTAGGCAGTATCAGCACAATCAGTACATCGACATCCTTCAGGACTGTTAAGAAAGAGAACAATAAATTTCTAATCGGGAATATGAATATGATTTTAGTACTATTATATGATTTACCTGAAATTTTTCACTGAAGCGTCTAAATTCTCTTAAACCGCTAATAAATTCATTTGCGGTAGCAATAGCGTTGTCTTTATTTCAAATGTACATCTTAGTTAGCCATAAATATCTTTCAACTCCTAAGACTAATTATTTGTCTCAGAATGTATCAGATTAGCGAAGGTTGCAATTTTCAGAATGTATCAGATTAGCGAAGGTTGCAATTTTCACCAATCGAAGACGCGAATCAAGATTGGTGTTGGTTGTCCGAATTTTAATTTTTAACTGCAATTTTCTTCAATATTTCTGATTCAGCTAATCGACGACTAACTCTTCCAATAGAATCGCTAACGTGGAAAATGAAAGCGGTTTGTTGTTAAAATGAATAAAAAATTCTTCCATTCTTTCTTCATAACTTATATTCAACATTGTTATCAGTCAAGTATTACCCGATTCATTCTGCTAACAAATATAAAATTATTAATATTTCGTTTGCAGGACGATAAATTATACAGTTCGAAATTGCTATTGATAACTCTGCCAGCTGATCATCGATTAAATTATTCGAAGTTTGAAGGTCATATTCTAGATAGGCCTACTCTAGATAGCGTAAGAATCTTTCAGACTTGTTTTATTATATAAAGATGCCGCTGTGTCAGCAGAATTCGTCAACAACGACATAGTTGGATCTTTATATCTTCTCGATTTAATAGCAATATTATCAAAATTAATGCTCGAATTATTAAAAAAGTGTACGATGTATTAATTTCAATAATATTATGAAATGGAAAACAAAAGACAAAGAACCATCCGTTGATGTTGATATGATATTTAATTACAGAACGATACGTTTATATACGTTTATATACAATTAGAGGACGATATTACATTTAACGAGAAAAATATATTTACATTAAGAAACGAACGTTTCAATCCTAATCGTTCGAATCCCTTTCAATAACATTACCGCTGAATCAAGATTTACTCAAATTACGGCGCCTACGATCAATTCTATTGATACAACAGGATTTTTCCCGCGTGGAGATCTACTTCAGGACGAACTACTTCGTTCGTGAGTGTGCTCCGTTTATTTCGGTGACACGACCGAATCGAAATTTGCATGCTACCTTGACGCTTTTAAGGATCATTCGCGTCAAATTAGATAGCCAGAGAACGGTAAAAGCCTATTTTGGTATTGCATTTGTTACGCATCTCTCTTCAAACTTGAATTCTATAGGTCGTATTTTAATGCTACTACTAAAACAGTTTATTTTGACGTTAAAACACCGCAAACAGAAGCACATCGTACAGTCAAAATAAAAGTAATTATATTATTAAAATTGAAATTGAACTTATTTCACGCTATCTCAGCTCCTACTGTGCTCCTACTGTGTTGTAAAATTAAACTAACATAAGGTCGTATTAACTGTGTTGTAAATTAAATTAAATTATACTGTGTTGTAAAATTAAACTAACATAAGGTCGTATTAATCTTCTTTTTACAAACCGTACCTCGAGCGTTATTGCGGCGCTAATTTCACCGGTATCGATGCCCTCGTCCGGTTTCTTTGCGTCGCGCTAACTCCTGGAGAAACTTGCATCAGTCGCCGCGGCTTGTTATTTGATGCGTCATGATTATTACGAGTCGAGCGCGCGACTGAGCGAAAGTAGAACCGAGAGAGAGAGAGAGAGAGAGAGAGATAGAGAGGAAGTGAACGGGAGAAGCCGGTGTTCTTAAGTGGTTCTTATGCTGTATTTCCCGGAGGGATATTTCGTTTTGGCCCAGACGAGAGTAATGACTGCCACCGCATCAAGACCACTACCACCATCGCTAACGGAGCGCGAGCAAACTAGGCCGATATCCTGCCGCCTTTCAAATAGTCGTGGACTTTTAATTTTTCTAATGGGTTAATCATCGTGCAGCGTCTTCAGCGCCAGCGTGCGCTCGTGACTATGTTTGAGCGGAAATT